GCGTTGCCAGGTTTAATTGTATAAATAACCCGATATCTCGAATGGAATTCTTGGATTGGAATTCGGTTTATGTCTTTATGGATCCTGTGCAGTGAATTCATTTAATCTCGAATTATTCAAATGTTTATTTACATACAATATGGGCCTAACTATAAAACGATAGAGCATTAACTATAAAACGATGAACTTTCCAATCGTTATTGTTTTGATAAAAGCTGACTCATGGAGTTCTGGTCAATCCTATGCGTCATTAGAAGTAATTGGATATTCTTGATTGAATGTTTATTTATTCGGAACTTATTTGTTATTAAAAGGAACTTTTAGAATAATCAACTGAGAATTGAAAAGACTAAGGAAAATTTTTGGTTGTTATTCATGCCCTAATTCTAATTGTGACATCTGAATGGAAAAGCTCTTAAAATACATATTACTTAGTGTTTCATAATTTATTACTTCAAATCTTAATTCAATAATAAAAATAACTCATTATTTCCGTCAATGCATAAAAGCGTGGAAACAATTGAAGGCTAGTCAGCTTTACAGAGTTTTACATCGCAGTACTTGAACCTGTTTGACCCATTACAATGAACAAAAATGGGTGCTATAATCTCAGGTAAATCCTAATTTAGATCTTGGAAATAATCTCAACATATATCCTTCGTACACCAAGCTTCCTCGATCATAATATGTGCATTCCCATAGTTCTAAAAAATGTGCCTTTGTGTTAGTCCTTTCCTGATCCTGGTTGCACTGATCTGTCCTTTGGTTTAAAGCTTCTTGACCGATCTCACCAAGTTAGAGTAGGAAACGCTGGGTCAACTGTCATTCATATTACGTAAGGAGTTCCTCAAGGATCTCATTGTTCACCTCTTCTGTTCAACATCTTAGTTGATGACATACTTCCTGAATGGTATTTGTATTCCACCAACATGTGTCACTTCAATGAAGGATCTAAGAAGTTATCTTTGATAATTGCGTATTTTTGGATCATATAAATATTACTGTCGATACATCAAAGCTACTGGGTTGTATATTACGAAACTGCAAACTATTATCGATCAATCAGCACACTGTGTCTTTCCTTAAAAGTATCCCTCTCAAAATATGGCTCGATTATTAGCTCACCATTTTATACAAATCACTGTGTCACATCGTAAAGAATCTAACATAAATTGCTGATATTCTGTGCTTATGAAATGAATATGCACATTAAAGATCATGATTATACAATTATTTTGAAGGGTCTTAAACTAGATTTGTTGAGCAGAGAAAGAGAGAATGCTACCTCAGAAATAATGATCTGTTTCACTTTTCCTTCTATCATACAAACTATAGAATGCACTCTCCTATTGATCGTCCACTTAGAATGATCAATGAAAAAAAATCTGCATCAAAGAGATCACAAGAAGGCATGTCAAAATTAATTGGAAATTAATTATACAACAAATTCTTTATATTATTCCCCCCATTGATCTCTGTATTTTGAATTGTATAATCTATAACTCTGTTTATCTCATTGTTTTTACTGATTTTCACGTGCTTGAGTTTACTTCAAGTCTCACTTTTACATTTTAAGTATAATGAATGAAAAAATAGGATGAAATTATTACACCTACACTCAAGTCATTTGCTTAGCAAAAATTCAAAAATCATGTTAATGCCACATATTATGAATAATAAATTTGTGTCAACTTCACCTCACTTTTAGTTTGAATTTTTTTTTTCAAATGGTTTTCCTTGATTTTTAGACTATGTGTACCTTTGACAAAGTTTCGATTGGTGTATGAACCTAATTTTTTTTTTTCAGATATAAATGTATACCATGCCATACTTGGAATTCCCCTCAATGTATCCATAAAATACATATAAAAACAAGTCACTGCAACGCCAAGTATATTTATCCAACTGCATAACATTTCTCCATATTTCATATTTCGTTTAGATTGGTTATCTTACAAAATCATAAAAGAATTTACTACTTTTGTGACCCGTGTATTTCTAATCTTCATAATGTTTTGATGTCAAGTTTAAAGTTAGTCGTTGATGATGCTATAACATAAATCATAAAAAAAATAACCATTTACTGATTTCTTTGCGAGATTTTCACTCAACCGTTCACAAACGCGCGACACGTGTTTCGCCAAGTCATAGCTTCTTCAGGTATGTTCAGTATCAGTAGTGAAGTTTTCAAATACTACGAATGGGTATGCAATACTCCGGCAGATTTTCTATAATATGTAGAAAGTGAGACATGGAACTAACTATACGAAGAAAGGTGAGGAACACGGGGTCAGTTCTAAGAAAAAATGCGTTTTAGGTGGCCATGCCATATGAAAAAAACACATCATCACGTAAAACAGCAATATAACCCAGCTTCTTAACGAAGCCGATTAGTTTGTATGGTGAGTGGTCTTTCAGGTCAGATGGTGATAGTACGGATCTACCGAACTCTAAAAACCTGACTGTCTTCCGACAGTCCGAGTCTCTGCATATGATTATTCAAATAACAGTGACCTGTAAGAAGGCATGTTAGACATCGTAGTTCATCCCTACTGTAGTCCAACAACTGTTTGGTATCAAACTTCGAAAGGTAAATAAACGCGTTGGGGTGAGCCAATCTTGGAAGATTCTGCCAGAAGTCTATAAATCTCCTTTCCATCCAGGTGTTCAATCTTTGTTTGGCAAAGCCAAAAGCGATGCCAATGACAGGTTCTGGTCCGATGAAGCTGCTTGCAGCACCCTCCTTTGCAAGGGAATCAGCAGCCAGGCCAGTATGGCCAGGAATCCAGACCAGAGACAATCTGTTAATTCTTCCTAGCGAGGAGAGTCGTTTTTGGCAATTTTCTACGAATTTTACCCAGCTTCTTAACGAAGCCGATTAGTTTGTATGGTGAGTGGTCTTTCAGGTCAGATGGTGATAGTACGGATCTACCGAACTCTAAAAACCTGATTCGGTCCCCAGCGGGGCAGGCACAAAGTATGTGCTCTGCTGTTTCATCATTTTCCAAACAGAGGCGACACACTCTGCCTTCCGACAGTCCGAGTCTCTGCATAAGATTATTCAAATAACAGTGACCTGTAAGAAGGCATGTTAGACATCGTAGTTCATCCCTACTGTAGTCCAACAACTGTTTGGTATCAAACTTCGAAGGGTGAATAAACGCCTTGGAGTGAGCCAATCCTGGAAGATTCTGCCAGAAGTCCATAAATCTCCTTTCCATCCAGCTGTTCAATCTTTGTTTGGCAAAGCCAAAAGCGATGCCAATGACAGGTTCTGGTCCGATGAAGCTGCTTGCAGCACCCTCCTTTGCAAGGAAATCAGCAGCCAGGCTAGTATGGCCAGGAATCCAGACCAGAGACAATCTGTTAATTCTTCCTAGCGAGGAGAGTCGTTTTTGGCAATTTGCTACGAATTTAGCCGTTGCTAGGTAGGAGCCAAGAGCTTTCAACGCCGCTTGACTGTCCAACAATATTGACTTGTGTATGAGGTTGAATAGCGTAAATTTTCGCTTGAAATACAGTCGCATAGGTTCCTAGGCAGGTTGATATATCTGTCCTGGGTCTGCGATTGAAAACACCTGTACCAGAACCGGGAGGTGTTTTTGATCCATCTGTGAACCAACAACTATCTAAGTAACATCTAACTCCACAAAATTACTGGATCTCTATGCTATAGCCTCTATTAAATGTTGATGCGGTTGGTCTGTTAAAAGTAATGGATGACAGAATTTGGATCCCTTGGTATAACATTGACCAAGTTGTGTGGGTGTATTGGCCAAGGCATCATATATGGATCAGAGCGTTTATAAGTGAATCAGAAACGAGATCGGGTCAAACATTGAACCTTGAAACATCCAGTTTTAATCCGAAAGAAAGCTAGGCAACCACCAGATTGACAACTACAATCCTGCAGGAAAGCCACAGGCAGACCAAGTCAAGTCAACTTGGCCTGTGAGCGACGTAAGATTTCTGGATGATTTTCAATAACTGAAATCACATTGGTGGTGTTAAAAGCTAATATCTCGAAAAAAAAATTGTTTTCTGGGCAAGCAATTCATAAGATTTTTTCAACAGAATGAGAGATACGAAAAAAGAGTTATTTATTAGGCAGTGGGTACATCATAAATGGTAACATTATTTCGTGGAACCTAGTCTTTAATTAAACTCTACTGCCATTTATTTATACTAAAAAAATATATGAAAATCTTCATATATGCCGATATGATAATATTTCATGAAGGTACTCACGAGGGAAATCATGTCGGTGTCGACGTGACGTAACAACTTAATTCGTTATCACATAATTACACGTGAAGTTCATGGAAAAGTATTTTCTTATCAAACATATTTACCATGTGAATTCTAGAATATATTCAAATGATCTTTCTGCGCATGAAGGTATTTATAAAGAGTATAATCCGCTCTTTACATTCAAAAGTAACTTCAAATTTGAAAATTAGTTGAAGATTTCAACACAAGAATAAACACCCCTGACGTTCCTTACAGGCTACGCCTATGCCGTCAATCAAAGTGCAAAACAGTTCGCCCCTACTCAGTACAAATCGGGAACATTTTGTCAACAATTCCCTGAAAACCAGGCAAATCCCAATCCTTTGTTTTGGTCATTACCCTCCCAGCTGTGGGAATCTCCCTAAACAAAACAATAAAATAATCGCTTACCGAAGTTTCTCGGAATGCAGAAGTTCAAGGCGAATCGATCACACATGGCAACGCCGCTCGGTTCGCAACATGTGGTGGAATGAAAGAATCCGTGCGGGACAAGGGGGCAACGTTCGTCGGATCGAGACAGACAGCGTATGACGCCAAAGTGATAGTCAGAGCGGCGCCAGCATAGTACAATACCGTGCAAAAAATCTGCTCAAGGAGCACTAGATTGAATCGAATTATCTTTAAATGCCAGGAACGACAAGTCAACGTTGGCAGCGCGCAAAGGCGATAAGAACTACTGAAACGAATTACAACAGCAGAAAAATACTTACGATATCTTGAAGGAAGCGACAGTCGCCCACGTATCGTTACAAAACCACAATGTTTACATTATGTAAAACCCATTGGCACCAATATCATTCAATGCGCATCGACTATTCCAGCACAATCACTCAATATTTACAAATTTTTGACTGGATAGCTACAAAACTCACTAGATTACGAAAATATAAGGTTGGCACTTAGTAACATTAGCTTGAATTATCACTCATTGTAAAGTTTCGTGACTGTTACGCACTTATCTAAAAGATTTTCCACTAATACGAGATAAATCTACAGATACTGCGTGTACAAAATACACTAAATATGATATGATGGGTCACACGGCGCCATGTTTACTTGTTTGACTCTTCCGTCTCTGTCGGTCGCCCGCGCGTAGCTGGCAAACGTTCGGTAAAGGCGACCGTACACCGAGAAACTGTATGAATTAAGATGAAATTAACCACGTTCCGCCAGTGCCGTACGCCACTTGGCGAAAAGAAATCAATATCACTTGAAAATACGTAGGCACTGATGTAATCTATTATATTAATGTAGTTGAGTTTGAAACATATGTTAACAGTCGATATGACCTGCTTGATTGTACAAATGAAAGGTAAGGTGCCTGTTGGAATATTCTCGCTTAGAAATTCGCCTCCCTATTAATTACATCTATCAGCAATAAAAAGATTCCACATTCAGTAAAAATCATCAATATTTGAAGTTGAAGATCGGTATACAAATCTACAGAATATTGCATATTTTAGAATTAAATGTATATTTCTTTAAATAGGATGAAATAAAATCGGAATTTTACTGATAATGAACATATACAAATTGTGTTGGTGAAAGTTTACTTCTGAACTTTACTCCGAAAATCCTTATTTCCTGGTACCATAAATGTAATTTGTTTAATTTACTTTATTTCAATGGGGATAGTGAGGATCAGAATTTCATTGTTTATAGACTATCAATACAGGAGGTATAACCAGTGTTGTAGACTGTATTATCACTGAAACCTTAATTAACAACCCCGAACTTTATTGAATCACTACTCTGGTTCCAACTGGATGAATTGTCCTACACCTACAATGTGATTTAACTAAGTTAAAGTATCTACTTACGGAACTTAACATTCATCAGATGAGAAGTTTCATTGATGAAAATGATTCCAGAGGATAGTGCTTGAAGTACACATTTTTCTATCTATTGTTATGGAAAACATTATAGTTGAACACAGAAACCTAGCAGAGGGACATTAGTTTTTTTTTTCGGCGAAAATATATTAATTTTTTCGATTTTTAACTTGAAAATTTTGGCGCTGAATTCATCAATAGTTCCGACTTATGATTCTGACTTAACTAGGAATTTCGAACTTTTAAACACGAATTTTGATGTTACCTTAGACAACCTAACCTAACCTGTTCGGCCATTCTAGTCTGATCGTATTCATATCGATCTCATTATTCCGAACTGCAAATTTAAAAAAAAAAATAAGTACCTAGTTAACATGTTCTTGCTTCTGTACAATATATTGGTGTTCAACGAATTTAATACTTTTAGTTGAGGGTGTGAAAAATTATACAAAGTATTTTGGCCAGTCAGAAGCCAACAAAGATCTGGCATCCACGTTTGCAATGAGGGGGGTAAAACTTTCGAGGTAAGTGGTTAAATACTTTGAAGAAGCATTTATTAGGAATGGCCAACAAAGAAAAAAATCTTTAATAACAAATATACAATTCACTGTAATATTTTCACAAAAATTATGTAGTCTACCACACTGAATCGTTTATTAGTATGAAAGAAACGAGAATGATATACCAAAACTGTTGTTATGTCCTTCAGAATTTTCTACATAGTTGTCTATGGTCGTTAACTTCAATTCCTGAGTCAGTTCCTGCCTCGAAAAAACATTTTTTTGACCCAACATTCTCTCTTTCTATGTTTTCTATGTATTCTACCTGTGTACTAATCACTAAATGTGAAATTAATATTTATTGTACACTTTAAATTTTGTTCATGAATGAGTGAATAAGCACAATACAGGCATTTGTATGCCTAGGTGTCATTTACTCATTCAGAATGAATTATATAATAAGAATTATTTTATATATACAGTTGTACTTCAGAATTGAGTTGAATAAATTGAATTGAATTGAAGTTGAAGACCCTGTACAACAATCTTATGTTAAAAAAATATTTGTCTATAAATCAAAACAAACAAGGAAAATTGTTGCCAAAGAGACTAACTTATACCGGCTGAATCTTGTTTCTGGTCCACACAAAAAAATAAACTTGATGATGGTTTCTCGGAGGCGAAACATCAATGAAAAAATCTGTAAACGTCATCTTGTACAGCTTGAAGAGTGACAATAAGAGTTTTGTTGTTATTTTCTTCCTGATAACGCTAGAAAAAAATTGATACAAAATTGGCGAATTCCTGTCCTTTTCAAAAATCTCTGGAACAAATCGCCAATTAAATACGCTCCAAAATTGGCAACTTGACAACCAGTCATCTCCTCCTATCTCGGACACGAATTATATTTCCGTTGCCCCGAGCAACGTTCCGCCGCTGCACCTTCACGAAACGACAAGCCATTTGTTATTCTACCTCTTTCTTTGAAAACTTTCAAACCTGTTTCAGCATTCAATTCAGCAGCTGTCTCTGTCCTCGCTCGGATTCACCTACCCGCCTATTTGCCTCTCCGTCGCCTGCATCGCCATCCTTTAATACGTTTTTCACCAACGTGCGTTTATGGTTCAAAGTCTACTGCTTTGATAACAATTCAATGCTAATCACTCGATCAAGAAGCACAATACAGTCGACTATAAATCAATCCAGTCAACTTTGTACTGTCCTCAGCTCATGTTTGATATCAAAACCGACGAGCTATCTCTTGGAAGCGGTTCTATTATCAATTAGCGCCTGCAGCGCATCATGAGCTAAATATAGAGAGGACCGATTGTCGAAAATACGTAAGCGATCTGCTGGAATTCTCGGAAACGCTCTGGGATCGCCCGTGCTGTTTCTGTCTCTCTCCACCGTAGCGGAATTTCCTCTTCGAACACTCAGCATTGTCCTTGCTTTATGTAACAGGTTTTCTGTTTCGGAATCACCCTAGCCATGTCCTTGTTCAGTCGTTTTGTATGGGCGAGGTGCAGAAAGACCTGCTCTCGCTGGCTTGATTTGTTGTGCACAAGTTGACTGGATGTACGGTTGGGGGAAAAGCCGTGAATGGACGGAGGAGATTGAGACCTTTTGTGAGGCTGAACATTTAAATTTTTTGAGCAATGTTGCCGTTTGCTGGTGACAACTGCTTAGATATTGGAAATATGCGGAGAGTTATCAGGGTGGGCGATGTTTTTGATTGATTGCATTATTGTATTAGTCCAGTCATCTTAGGAATTTGAAATACCCAGCTATAAACTTGTATTTTGACATTCTAAATGTTGTCTCAATACCTACATATGGTACGGTATACGTGACTATTAAACTTTAAGGTCAGAGGTCACAAAAATTGATTTTTTGTACATATCTCGTTTCCAATGGGTTTTTCGCTGTTTGTATTTGTTATCAATATTGTAGAGGGTTGAATTATCTACAAGTTCAGTTGTAGGGAATATGTTGAATAATTTTCTAGAGGACGCTCGGTTAGAACACCATTTAAGGTCAACCGTTAGTCCCGGTCAAAATCACGCCATATTTATAAGGTTTATTGATTATTGATAAATACATAATTATTGATAGTTTTCATTTCTTATCAGTCATACTTACCATCACACTACCATCTAACCTTACGTAGATTTTTATGTCGTTAAGATTTCTTAATATCTTGAAATATATAGGTATTTTTTTTAATAAACTTAAAACAATAACGAACGAAAAACTGTGGGATCAGTCAACCGTATATTGTCTAGAAAAAATTTCCGATTCCGGAGAGGAAGCCTGAAAATCAGCTACCAAGCCCAATGCAGCAGGCGCGCAAAGGAGGGTTACAAATTAGGCAGCAGGCGCGCGTGTTAATAAAAAAAATACTTTTTTCAAATGAAGAAATACATGTAAAGTGAGTTTGAATTATATCAAAGCTGTTACGTACAGCGTCATCTGCCCTCGAATAGATCAAGCAATGATATCGATATATCAAGGAGTTATGTACAGCGCCATCTGCTCGCGAATAGATCAAGTAATAATGCCGATATATCAAGAAGGTTATGTACAGCGCCATCTACCCGCGAATAGATCAAGCAATAATATCGATAATTCTGTCAAATACAGATCCCGAGCTTGAGAGTTACAAACAAACATACGTACATGTGAAGCTAATAAAAGCGTGTTAATCAATTAATTAAAAAAAAGTAAAGGAATAATTGAGTAGTCAACTCAATTCTATGCAATTTGAATGTCAAACGAAAATAAATCTTTTTGAAAAATTATGCAAACCTTTCTTGGTCAGGTTCCATTGCATTTGTAGTTTTTCGGGATTGTTGAGGCCGTTCGTTTTGTGTGAGTTTCCCAACGTATCGCCATCAGCAGTTTTTGACTTCTTCAATAATATGTTAGGACTCTATATATTTTTATTAATCTACTAGCTTATACTCTGATTTCATGTACTTGACTATGTTTATTATATCTCAAAAAATGCAATGTTCACCAAAGCTATGTCAATAAGAGTTTCTCTTAGGATAATAAAGCATATTTATCATTATTATTAAATAGAACAAAAGATGTAAAATGAATATCATATTGCTTGTTTCAATTAAAAACAAAAACACTTCATGTGAAATTAAAGAATCGACCAATTCCAATCCATAACAATACAATAATATGGAGTAAATTTAGAAGAAACTGCAGAATGAATGAAGTTCTAGAGAAAGTAGAAAAATAGCTGAAAACGAATAAAATGAAACTTAACGTTAAAAAAAACAAAAGCAATGATAATTACTAGTAAATTCAAATATAATCAAATAAATACAAACAACATAAATATAAAAATTGAAGATGAACATATAGAAATAGTAACATCAGTGAAGTATTTGGGATTTCAACTTGATAATTGCTTATCATTCGACGACCACTTCAAATATATTGAAAAAATGATTGTAAAAAAATTATATTTTTTCTCAATAATTGTTATGTCAACATTTCAAGTGCTTTTGAGCACTCAATTGCATTTCTCGATAGCATTTTATAAGACTTTTGAGTAAACTTTCAGAATTTCAAAATAAAAGTTTAGAGCTCAGTATCTTTCATTTCGAGGTGAAGCCCCTAATGTTCCTGGGCTGAGATGTAAACATTGCGGCACGAAAAATTGAGCAAAGTTCCAGTTACGAATTGTGTCGTTTTACCAATAGAAACAAGCCCGTTTTGCCAATAGAAACGAATGCTGTACCACTAGCCAGTAGAATTGAAAAAGCAAAAAAGTAAATAAACAAATAAATATTTTATTATCTAAGCTACACTTCACATAAAATAAAGTCAACAGCTCTAAAGTCATAGGTACATAAACTATTTTAAATATCAACAATATCATTGTATCAGTTTTTTGAATATATTCAAACTCTGCCTCTTTTTGTTCTAGTACTCAATTTGATGAGGTAATTTTTTAAGGTAAATTTCTTCATCAAAGATCAAAGAAGCTAATGTGTTTCTAGTGTTTTTCCCTTTTTTGTCAACTCAGACCCATACAATATTTCAAAATAATAAAAACTGCCTTGAAACGAAATAAACCAAGTCTATTCATAATAAAATTGCTATAAATGTAAACCTAAACACTGACTTTACCTCACTATGGTGTCGTTTCAACTCAGAACTGAGTCACTTTTATGTCTATTTCTGCCAATAGGTATTCGATTTGTTTCATATAAGCGTTTAACATAACACGATAAAAATTTGTTTATATTCATACAGATATTGAGTTCAGTATCACCGAGAAGAAGCTTCCAGTAAACTCATTTCAGAAATCGTTAGTCTATGGTAAAAAAAATTGTATGTACAGGGGTTTTTGATTAAGGCTTTCGAAAAGTTTAATGGAAAATGCCCTTATTCCACTCACAAAACCCTTCAACAGTGATCAACTTGCTGTATGTGTATACAGCAGATTCTCAAGACATTTGCATATTCTGATTCTGTCACAGGGGAAAAAATTATATTCCGAAAATCCACATCTTTTTTAGACATCTGTATCACAAAGTAGGAAGATATTACCGTCACGGATACAGCCTTGTTTACCTCAAAAATCATTTCTTTATTTTGGACTGGAAGTAATCAGAAAATTGTCTCAAAATTTAGACCTCAAACCGGACTCATATAAAAGTAAAAACTAATATCAACTCTCATGAAAGTCCTATGTGCTGAGTTTATATAATAATTTCTCAATAAATTTAGTACACTGCTTCATAAAAAATAAAATTTTCCAGCAATATCAAAATATCATTCACTAAATATACCAAAAATAGATGCGCCTGAAGGATTTATCTGTGGTGAATAATGTTTCTTATTAAATGTACGACCAGAATATGAAATCAGATCAATGAATCCTGCAGCATATGAAAATTAGCAATTAGATGTGAAATAAATAGAATTCGAAAAGACCAATGCAGATGTGTCAGATGTAGTACCTAACACCTAGTGAAAATCAGACCAACCGGCAGGTTTTCCAGTTCTGAAGCACCTTGTCTGTTGTAAAATTATAAACAGGTAAAAAACAGAAGTACTGTTGTGCATTGATTATTATTTTTTCAAACGTGCTCGGCACTGGATAGATTACTTTGTGGATAGAAAGTGTCCAACTTTCAATTTAGATACTCGGATATGAGGACTCGTTCCTACAAAGATAAAAATGAGCTCTCAGAACTTCGTCATGGGAAAAATATATTGGAGAGAAACAACTTTTTCTTCAAAGCAAAACTTTGTTGTCAATGAGGTATAGTAATATTTGAGCAATTCAAACTAAACACCTACTTTCCTGTTTAGTGGAGCTAACAGACATTGAATTTTATCTTCCAAATAATTGTTCAGTTGTCTTGACAGAAACAGTTTCTCTTGATAACATAAAGCAACGTACTTTGAATTAAAACATAAATTTCTGAAGGGTTCAATTCTTTAGTCTATATTTTGTGAGGAGTGAAAAAACATCCTACAAGAATAAATATCTTGCAGATTGTGAAATAACTTACAAAAATTCGTTTTGGTACCTCTTACACACATTCTGTACATTTTCCAAAGAGGCAAGATGTAAAAATAACTCCAAACGAATCAGCAAATCCTCTTTCTAATACCACGACACTAATTACCTATTCCTAACAGTTATGCAAGGTTTTTCACGGTGACCATATTTCTTGATATGCCGTAGCCTTAGTGAAGAGCCTTGCTTCGGCTGATAATTTGAGATCAATCACTATTACCAAACAGGTGGTCGAGGAAAATTTACTTTTCTTCAGTTCTTTCAATGAACAAGGAAGATCTTGACGAAAAACAAATGATTTTAACAGGTATTTGGTTATCAATTGTTATTGTAGGATTTAGAGAACCTCACTTTGGTAGAAAGAAGATTTTGGAAGTAACGACAGTAATTTCTTCTGAGAATTTGCCATAACCAAACTCCCCTGCATCAAAACTTTCAATTTTATTGTAGTAACAGCTTCTGAGAATGGTATAATGGAAGCTCACCAAAGGCTCATTATGTCTTTTGATCCGTTCATCCAGATATAGATGAAGCTACTCTAAGGTGTCGTCGGCTGAATCACCCTGAGGTATTTCTTCAGCTTCAGTGGCGGTTTCTGTGGGTTGTGCTGAACTATCTTCTTCCGGAGTGGCGCTGGGCAACTCCCTCTTGGACCGCTTACCAGACTTCTGCTTAGAAGGTTCAAGTTCCTCGCAGGAGGGGCATTCGAAATGTACACAATGGAAAACCTGAAAAATAAATCAGAAGATATTGTCGTGCGAATACGTCGAATATTCGTTAAGTGTCATACCTCATTGGCAGTGTTATGGGTTCCAACGATTCGGATGAAAACCACAGGCCTCGGTGGGAAAGTGATATGTTGCCAGGATTTGCGGTTTTCTCTTGTATTGTCTACGATCATTTCCCATTCCCACACGTTCACGGACGATTCTATGTAGTAACTGTAACTCCTATCATCACAATCCCACAGAAGTAATCTCAAGCTTGATATGATATAAGGCTGACCTGAATGAAATACACAAATAATTACAAGATAATTCATAGGAGTATGAACTTTATTGTTGAAAATTACCCTTTGACAATAGAATATACAGTGCGAACGTCAAGGTCAAGTGAAATTAACGTAAAAAAGTATTATTTTCAATACTTATTGATGAGAACGACAATAGTGTTACATCACTCATCGCCAAGAGGGCGCCGCCATAGAATAGTCGGAGGATTTTTTTGATAACTCGTTTGATGGGTGTTTCAAATCTTCATCAAAAAATTTTTCATTGTTGGAAATAGAATTAACAGTTTTGTATTCGTTTAAAGGATCTGCAAACAAACTGGAATACAAAGTGAGTAGAGAATTCTTTTGTATAATTCAGTGTTCATATAAAAGTATTTGTTTCGAAAGAATTTTTCTTTCGTGTAATTCAATGTTTATATGAAAGTAGCTGTTTCATAAGGGCTTTTTCTTCCAGTTTGTGTCTGAAAGTTACTTCTTGGTAAATATAACAGCATACAGTTCAACATAGTTAAGACACTATGAATTTAAAATATGTTGTTATTCTCCCTAATCAGCAAAAATGCTGGTCTCGGGATTCACAAACATTCAACATGACAAGAAACACAAAAACTAGTAAACCACTACAAAGCTCATAGTAGTAACGCATCAGACATGTGCCTGGCAGCTCAGATGTTCTCTTAAACTATTGATGAATGAACTATGAATGAACTATAGCCCGGCAACTCAAGTATATGGACAGGTAATTCATTGAAAGACTTTTATAGATTGTGTAAAAGGATTTTATAATCCTTTGTTTGTTCTTTTCGTGCTCAGGTGTAAGTCATTTCTACCTCTTGTATTATACTCATAAAACTGGTTGTTGACTAGTAGATCATTGTTGCTTTTCATTTTTTGTTTTTTATTTTATATATGTTCTTGCATTGCTCAAGTTCAAGTAGATATTTAATTGGGTGTAGCTCAGTCTGTGAGATTAAATCATTTGTGTGGGTTCGAAATGGAATTTGAAAAATAAATTTATTTATTTTGTAGCGTTTGAATTTCTTTTAAATTAGTGATGCCACAATTACCCCGTATGATTAACAGATACCTAAAATTCGCCAATATATATGTATTGTAAACCAAGTATCTATTACTAAAACTCAAGTAACTGGAACACCTATATAGAGCTTCTAACATTGGTACAATTTTATCATTAATATGTTCTATGTGTCCTGACCAGTTTAATTTATCATCTATTATGAGTCCCAAATACTTGATTTTTGCAACATTCATCAAGGGTAAGTTATTTATTCTTAATTCAATATTTCCACAAATTCTATCTTTTTGTTTAAATAGCATGTAAACGGTTTTTGCAGAGTTCACTATAAGTTTATTATGTGCAAGCCAATTTAAATATTTAGAGAGATCTTCATTAACTGTGTTCTCCAGTAAATGTAAATCATATCTACTGTACAAAAGGACCGTGTCATCGGCGAACGTGAAATACCTTCTCTTAAGCTGGGCCTGCCTCAGTGACAATACCATCAGTGTATACAACAGGGGTTCCAAAACAGATCCCTGTGGTACGCCACAATTATTTCCAATATGCTCACAGCAACAAACTGGGATCTTTCCTTTAAAAATGTCCATGCAACATAGTTTGTTCAGAAGAACAGTATGGTCAAAAACGTCAAATGCCTTTCTTAAATCAATGAACACTGCAATAACCATTCTTTTTTTGTTCAACTCCGATGTAATATTACGAATAGAGTTACTTTTTTTGAAATTGATTGATTCTTTCCTTTCTTTGGAAGATTACTACATTTTTTTTGTATCAAGATGGAGTAGTAGAAAGCCAAAAACTTTCTTTTCCATACTAAACTTGTAACAGAAGTTGATAAATTGCTGAAATCAGTTCATAAACTATGAAAGGGATTTTTTCAGCTGATAATATAAAAATGAAAATTTGAATTTTTAAAATCTGAATGTACCTAGCTGGATGAGAATAGCTCCGGATCCCAACTGATGACAAGTGTATCCAGAGTCCCAGTCATAACGCTTCGTATCACCATTCAATAAAGCATTACGGGCTCGACTGAAATATACATTATTCCATTTTGAAACTTGTTAACATGAAAACGCTGATCATACCCACATCGAATTGAAATGAGTTTTGCTACTAACCTCACTCCTTCTATAACTACTGCACTTCTATCTAACGTTGCCACATTGAAATCCGGGCAGACGATATCATTGACCATCTTCGGTATTTGATTTATGCACATGGCCTCGAAAGACACCAAATGAAATACCTATAAATTACATTCATAAAACATATAAAACACTATTACCAGTATCTTCTTACCTTATTCACAGTATTGTGCGTTCCAACTACCCTAATGTACTGTACAACCCTGTTTTCAAAGTATAAATGCTGCCAAGACCTGCAGCTGTATTGAGTATAGTCTATTACACGGACCCAGTCTTTTTGTTCGATAGAAACTTCGATGTAATAAGAATACGACCTGAAAAAAGAAGATGAATAAAATAGAGTATTTTTTCTGACTCAAAAGTTATTATAAACGATTTATTTTTGCAAAAAACACGTGTTAATACACACACATACAAACACTCACATACACCACCACAGCACACCTCACCATCAGCCACACGCCACACACACCATCAGCCATACACAATCGGTCCATCACCCACGCACCATCAGCAACACACATCATCGATCACACGCGTCACCAGCCACACACCACCGACCCATCAGCTACACACCACCGACTCATCATCCACACACCACCGTCCCATCAGCCACACATGCCGGTGTGACACACACCACCAGCCACTCACGCCACACATCATCGGCTCATCAGCCATACACTACCAGCCACACACACCATCAGCCACACAAAACTGGCCACACGCGTCGTCAGCCACATACCATCGGTCAATCAGCCACACTACCGGCCACATACCAAAGGCCCACCAGCCACACAATAATAATAATAACTTTATTCGTCTTTTCGATTATATACATGATATAAGACATTTCATAAATAAAAATATGAAAATTATATAAAACAATAATAACGGTCCACAGTATAACATAGACACTTGAAACAGGTACTTAACTATATACATATATAAAAAATAACACAAACAAACATACACACATATATGTATACACATACATAAATATACATGAAGTAAATTTATCTTTAATACCTTGAGGCAACGTATTGAATAATGTTATGCCATTATATGCAAGTGATTCCTTGAATGTTGATGTTTTATGTTTTGGGATAGTTAATAAATGTCTATTTCGTGTTGCATAGTTATGAACTATTGATTCATCTCTCAGATTGGGTACATTATTTTTCACATGGAGCAGAGCTTTATATATATAGATACAAGGTAACGTTAGCATCTTGTTCTTGCAGAAAGCAGGTCTACAGCTATCCCTTGGGTGCAATATTAAAGATAGTTCTAATTATTCTTTTTTGAACAATAAAAACACGTTTTGCCCCCACAGAAGAACCCCACATTAATACATTTTGAGCCATATGTGAGTACGGCAATGAATAGTGAACATTCCTGATACCTTCTAAACTAAGCACGTCTTTGATCTGTTGTATTGCAAATAACACTTGATTCAATTTTTTGCAGACATAATCGATATGGGGCTCCCAAGACAAGGTTTTATTTATAAACATACCAAGGAGTTTGTCTGTTTCCGAGAGTTGGATGTTGTTGAGTTTCACTGTTTTCCTTAACGCGAAACTTAAATGTACTGTTTTACTTTCATTCAGAATTAATGTTGTTTTCTATCACACCAAGAAATCATGTCATCCATGACTGAATTAATGTTGTTTTCTAGCTCCTCCGCAGTATTTCCAGAAACTGTTACGGTAGTGTCATCTGCGAATAGGATAATGAAACCTTGTTTTATATACTTCGGAAGATCATTTATGTAGATAGAGAAAAGCAGTGGGCCTAAAATGGACCCCTGCGGTACCCCAAGGATAATATCTTGAATATCAGATACTGAAATATCGGCCGAACGCCTCACACCATCAGCCACACACCACCACACCAAATACGTTTCAAAGCAATGAGTTCTTTAAAATAATTCTAAATGTTTGTTTATTAATTTTTTTAAAGCATATGGTAGGTCATTGTAAATCTTATACCTGATATCTCTGTCCCACAGCAGCAGCCTGATATGGTTGATGATTGATGGTGCTCCCAATTTAATTAGTATGCCATGATCACCTGGTCCACTAATTGGATGTCTAGTGTAACCTTTTTCCATGTCGTAGGTGTAATAATCTCCGTCAAGTAAGTATTCTAAAAGCTCCCCCGTCATTACCTTTGCACCTAATCTTGGACAAGCCACATTTTCATCCATAACTGCAGACAAATAGAATTCCATTTAGAATCGATTTACAACAAACAAACTACAATACTTACTTAGTAATCCACGATGAGGCAAATTAGTAGACCGGGTATTAGTCCTAACCTCTATGGCATCTAAAACTGCGTCTGGTTTAACTAGACCAGCAGGCCTTACCACTGAAAGTAGATCAGCCACTGTCATAAGAGGCAATCTGACACACTTTACCACTAAACCATCTGTGTCTTCGTTTACTTTACACCAATTGCAGACGCCTCGGAATATTTCAACTTCAGGAGCGAAGAAAGACCCTCTTTTTAGAAGTTCGACCAGTGAAGACTGAAAGAGATTTAGGAGATGAAGAGAATCAGGAGAGTATATTTTTTTGTTGATAAGAATTTACCCAAATGCATGCCACTGCACGTGGCACGCTCATCAAATCTTTTATTCGCAACCAGTTTGCGATACAAAAATAGGGTGGAACCGGGAAAGTATTATAAACCTGCTTATACCAGCTGAGGCAAAGCATAACTGAATCACAACATTTTGTTCGAGGACTAGAATTAGAATAGAATAGAATTTATTTATTCATCCCTGAAGAATTAACATATACATACAAGAGAATAATCAGACTAGTCACAAGGCAATAAAAAAAATCAGAAATATACAATTTAGAATATAAAAAAAATATACATACAATTAGTTTAAAATTCTCTACAATGTAGCATCTGAAAGCTCTTCAATGTATGAGAAATACACATACGATTGGATTAAAATTCTCTATAATGTAGCGTCTAAAAACTCTTCAATGGAGTAAAATGATTGATTTATTAGATAACGAGTCAGATTATCCTTCAACACTTGCTGAGTTCAAGTGCGGGAATATATTCATGAGTCGGTTATGGCACCTGATTCCTTGGTATATGTGAGAATCCTGACCAATGCTCATTCTTGAGTATGGCTGGTGGATGCTCTCACTATTTCTCGTATTGTATTTGTGTAAATCACATCTTCTACACAGGTTTTTTTCTTCTTTTTTGACACTGATGATAATCGGAAGAATGTAAAGTGAAGGGACTGTTAAAATTGAAAGTTGTTTGAATATGTTTCTACAAGAGGTTCCACGAGCTACACCAGCCATACATCTAATTATTTTCTTTTGGATGATGAAGACTTTATTCATATGTACTGAATTTCCCCAGAAAATCAATCCGTAGCTTAATGCAGATTGTACAAGTCCAAAGTACGCTAATTTAAGTATGTCTAATGATATTGTGCCCTTGAGTTGTCTGATAATGAAGCAAATTGTACTCAATTAATTGTTATATCATTAATATGAGGTTGAATTGAAGGGGTTATATTTTTTAGGAATGATTAATTTTTGGAAAAAAAGTTTTTGGCTTTCTACTACTCCATCTTGATACAAAAAAAAAGAAGAAGGATGAGGGAGTCTTCCAAAGAAAGGAAGGAAGACTGCCTCATCCTTCTTCTTTTTCTTGTATCAAGATGGAGTAGTAGAAAGCCAAAAACTTTCTTTCCTAATATGAGGTTCCCATGTCATTTTTTGGTCTATTTTGATACCCAGAAATTTAATGAAATTTACCTGTTCTATTGATTTATGATTCACTCATATTAAAAAATTCATATCACGATTTATATTTTTATGGTTGTGAATACCATAAAGAGTGTTTTTGTAGGTCAACTAATAGTCCATTAAACGAGCACCATTTATGAAAATCATTGCCACAAATGCTTGCTCTGGTAACAGCATTTTTTAATTCATTATCTGATACGAGAATATTAGTGTCATCAGCATACATGACAATTTTTCCAGCATTGGGACATGAGTACACCATATCATTGATAAACATTATAAAGAGAACAGGTCCCAAGATTGATCCTTGAGGGACACCAGTCGAAGTCGAACACAATTTTTTCTGTTGATCTATTTCCACCTAATACTACAATTTGTTGCCTTTCTCTGAGATAAGATGCAAGCCATTCATTTGCGATTCCTCGTACACCAATCCGGTACAGCTTATTCAATAAAAGATTATGGTCAACTGTATAGAATGCTCTAGTCAGGTTAAAGTAAAGTGCAATGGGATTGTGTTTGTCGTTGAGAGAGTCATATATGTTTGTACAAAAATCACCTATCGCGGTTAATGTTGATTTGTTTTGTCTTAAACCGTTTTGACAGTTAAATAATATGTGGTGGTGATTTAAAAATTTGTTTTGTTTTCCACATATATCATATATTCCAGAAGCAAACTTCTTAGTTGTCTTCATTATATATTCTTCAATCTCTTGACTGGTGGTAGAAGAAAGAAACTATGTTTTCATAAAAAGGAGATAGTTTCAATTTATCAACCTGTGGTTTTGGACAAGGTATGTCCATGAAAAAGTCACTTGGAGCGTTACAGATTTCACTTTGGTTCGATATTATTCTGTTGTTTATAATAAGTTGTTTCACTGTGTTCTTAGTTGCCTTATTTTTCGACTCATTGATTATTTTCCAGCTCTCTCTCATTAAATTTGGTGCTCGTTGTAGTCTGTCGTTGTTAGCTTTTCAAATTTACAATGAGCATTTATTACTTTTAATTATTAGGAAACAGTATAATGTTAAAACATTTGTGTAACAGAAAATTGCTTTTAAGAGCTAGCGTCAAACTTATTCATAACTTTATCATTCTCATATAAAATGAGATACATTGAAATTCCAACATGATTAAATCATAATTGGTCATAAACCTAGATATTTCTAACGACAACACATTACTATTATCACATCCATGGTTTAGTCATCACAACTGTGATAACACTGTTTCATGATTTAAAAATGTGTCTATCTATGAATATGCTATTGATATTTTAATCTAGATTAGAATAAATGAAATTATTGGTCTAGGTGGATTTATGAATCAGGATCCATTTGAATAAAATTCCATTATCTGGAAATAAAACGTGCTTTCACTTTTAAATATGTCCTAACAGGTCTCCTGGCAGTAAAACAGTCTATTTTCAAACGCATTTCTAACATTTTGGAATGTTTCTGGAGTAACGACTGCACAGACTTCAGTAATTCTGTCTTGAAGATCCTGAATGCCCCTGGTTGCATAATACAAACTTTCCATTTGATGTAGCCCCAAAAGAAAAATTCTAGAGGTGTCAAATTTGGTAAATGAGCAGGCCATTCTAACAGATGAAGCCTACCAATCCACATGTCTTGGTAGGCTTTGAAGTAGGTTTTGAAGAATTTCCAAATATGAATCACCTGTCAGATTTCCAGCCCAAACATTTATTTTCTCAGGAGTTTGAGTGCAACTTTCTCGAAAAATATGTGGGTTTATATCAGTATGACACATTTTGGTCATCGTGCTCACGAGCAGCTGTTAGAGAGGGGTGGAGGGCTATTTACACCATTAAATAAATAAATAAATACCTGTGATAGTTGCAAGAATGATTCATGGGCCATTATCTCTGGAGCATGCCTATCCATGAATCCATGACATACTTTAACGAGTTTTTCCAAACCATAGAAGTGACCAGTATCGAGAATCGCACAAACATTTTTCAGAGCCAGCATCTGCCGCAAGAGATCTGAAATCGCTGTTTCCAAATCTTGAAATCCATACTGATGGGCCAAACCTAGAGTATCCAATATAACTTCATCGCTTAACGCTGTGAAGTACATATGACCTAGAATCAAAACGTAAGTCATACAGGAATTACCAGTCGTACTCTAACAAACCTGTGTAGATGTACTTCAACAAGATTTTGAAGGCTTTCAAGGGGGCATCAGGGAGTACAATCTCAGCTTGGTTGGATTCCTTCAAACCTCCATAGAGCAATGCTCTGAAGTACTCGCTACGAGCAGCCAAGATCACCTATTTGAATGAGCAAAAAATAATTCAAAAATTGAAACGAAGAGGCTTTAACGCAGTACCTTGTGAGCACTGAGTTTTTCTCCTTCGACGATGAGCGTAACATCAGAGTGATCCGAATTCAAACATAACGCAGACATGTGTTCGGAGAACTGTGCTAGGTGTTCTATATCTACGGACTTTGTCAGTGGTGTGAGAGACTTCTGATTTTCATTTTGTAGGTACTGGTGGCTTCCGCTACTCATCTGGTGCAGATTGTGAAAAAATAATGTTAAATTAGAAATAATTTTGTGAAATAGATGACCTAATATACATATTATAAATGAGAATTCTAGAAAATGGTATAATTTATTTTGCACAGTCAGAAATTGGATCATCGACATGATAGGAGTATATTTATTACATTTCATTAGCACCTGAATTCCTTTGCATTTCACATAACTGAAATCTTGCAACCCCCCTTTTTTTTTCTAGAGACATCCTGCCATTTATTACTTGAGCACACTTGTTTATTTATATTCATTGCATTGTTACATATAAAAGGTCATTACTCTATTTTTGAACAGTTTCATAAGTAAAAAGGAACCTCACAACAGTTTTTATATTTTTTGTTGAATGAACATTTAGAAGAGAGAAAATACATGAAATTGATTTTTAAGTACTGTCTTAATCCTTACCTTGAATGATTTGAATATGTTCAGAATATATTCTCAATTCAATCAGTTACTTTTATTATACAAAACATCTTTCCATTACAAAACAAACTCCTTGCTTCCTAGTTTCCCCTTTTTTTTCGGACTTTAAATTTGGCATTGGTATATTGGCAACACATAGACAATTGCCATTTGACATGGAAACTGGCAATTAAAAATGACATGGAAGTCAAATTCACAAAACCACCAAATCAAAATTTGGTTCAGGTTTTGTGCATAAAACTCATAAATGTATATCTTTTTTTTTAGATATTGTAGCTGCAAACACCCGACGATCTATTCTTGAATCACTGGTCGTTCTTTCTATGTGATACATACCCCTATAAATCGTTCTTGCGTACGATTCCCTAGATCCTACTTATCAGCACGAATAAAATTTAATGAAATGGTTATTTAAAATACCATTGTACTTCTTTTTGATTTTTTCCTCTTTCCATTCATTTTTCAAATATTTTTTTTTAATTTTGTGTTCCTCTCACAAGTTATCAAGAGCTCAAAGATTTGATGGGATAAAACGTTTTAATTTGAGTATTCTCAACACGAAAAACGGTAAATCTAAAAATAAGTAATTCATATGCCATCTGTTGTAATTATTCGAATTACCAAAAGCCCAATTACGTAAAAATACTCCAACTGATTTCGAAATGTATCTGCAGTAATCGTACAACATTAAAAACACTTCTTGAATAATCTTAATGTTATTTTTGTGTTTTCTCAACATCAACTGAAATTTCTTCAAAAGGTCTGCCATGGCGTCTGTGAACATAGATCTGAGTTCGCTGCTAGGTGGAGATAAGACATCGGTGTCAGTATGCCCGTATTCATCCAAAGATGTTTCTGTCCAACCTTGAGCTTTGGTGAGCAAAGCCGATAAGGCTTCACCGGAATTGAGAGTATCGCTACCTTCTCCATAAGAATTATATCCTATTGAATACGATCCATCAGGATATTCCACACTTGTGTACTGGGCTAAGGCGCAAGCCAATAAAATGATCTGCAATAAAAAATAAATATTTCACATTTTACCTTTAGACAAATAACTATTATCATCACATAGGTTTTTTTACTAAAATTGAATGAAATGCAATTTCCCCATTTCCCATTCCCCAAAATAAGATTTAATTCATATTGATATCCAATCAAGACACTTCTTCCGCATTGACCTATAAAATAGATTGAAACCGGATGTTCCGCTCCCCTAGACATGATTACATTGTATATTACTGGAGTTTTTTCCCAACACCAAATCGTTATTTTTACACCTCGACACGTGTTTCGATCACCAAGTGATCATCCTCAAGAGGAAGATAAAACTTATCTTCCTCTTGAAGATGATCACTTGGTGATCGAAACACATGTCGAGGTATCTTCCTCTTGAGGATGATCACTTGGTGATCGAAACACGTGTCGAGGTGTAAAAATAACGATTTGGTGTTGGGAAAAAAACTCCAGTAATATTCATTACTACACCAAATAAGGTTCCAAACAGTATATCACAAGTATATGATTACATTGTAATGAAACTCAAACTACAGAAATATCAAAGAGCTAATTGGGTGTATGGCTTACAATAATATAAATATGTAGAGGTGTAATAGGAGAGGAACTGGCCAAATGTGCCACGCCACATAGGAAGCAACGGCCATAGAAACTTGAGAGAGAGAGAAACAGTTCTAGCGTGTGATCACAGACAGAATTTACCAAATTATTATAAGAATAATATAGAAATGTGCACAATGTTGCACACTCAATTTTTTTAACAATTCGTTTGTTATTGAAAGGAATTAAAATTTCCCTACGACAATAACAAATATTAAATCGGTAGAGCTATACTGATCCGAAATAAGTATATAATAAATTGGTTACAATTCAGTGAACGTGTGGCAATTCATAAATTGGCATAGTCTTTGCTTCATTCAACATTATTAATGCAATGCAATCATATCAAGGTACATTTGATCTACTGAGGTACTTGGAAGTCAAACTGTCTGTTATATTCATTTTCTAAAAGAGAACAGAGGAAGATTTATTTTTGGCAACAATAAAATGGTTGATCTACGGTTGTATATCAATTTGAATGGATTTGTAAACATCTAGATGTCTTTAAAATTATTCTCAGATCCTTATATTTCTGTTGTACCTAGTCACAGTCAAGATAGATTATTCCTGTTGGGTTAAGATGTGGAAGTTTCTCAGTTAATAAGCAACAAAAGTATGTCAGACTGTCAGATGGACGATGGTCAATTGGAAAATGAAATTACTACTACTTTCAACTACTACTAATTATCAATCTATTACCAATCAATAAATTGGTGGATGTAGCCGATACTACGTGGTAGGAAATCGAATAAATAAATAAAAACAAACAAATAAAAGTGGTAAAAAAGATAGACAGTTTCAATTCTCTTTTCTTCATTTTTACCAATCAGATAAAATAAGTCGCGATAAATATAGTCAGCGTGTATTTTATTGGCATTCAAGCGTATCCAATATTTTATCGATTCAGATAAAACATTTAATTGAAAAATTAAATAAAAAAACTAGTTAAATTGAAATGTAGCATGTTGAACATGTATTTTCCTCGTTGCATATTAAACATGCTACAATGAAAATACCGAACAAAACCAGAAAAATACAAATACTTATTTCAACTTACTGAAATTAACAAAGATGACAGCATGCTTATCTGAGGTATTATTCACAACTAAACACACTGAAAATTGTGAAACTATCATTAGAGGAAGTATCGCCAAAAAAGTCATTAAGGGTAATTAGTAGTAAAGGAGTTAAATTATTAACTCATTATTGTAGTCTGAAGGCTTATATTCATTGAAGTGATGATCAATATCAATAATGAACTAAACATTTATTTTACTTTTTATAATATATATGATATAACAAAACCGCAAGATCTAACGAATAAGTTACTGATATATTCAATTCAAAATATGGCCACAAAATCCACGAAGTTATTTGATTAACGTTTTATTTTGAGACTTTCACTACAAAACCACAATGTAAATAATATGTTTGTATTGAACATACTGGTAAAAACCATTGGTGAAAATCAATCAATAAAACGTTATTCGCATACAAGATTTCTTTTAATTATGATATATTTCAATCATCTCATCGACACACGTATACACTATTCAATAGATGGCCAGTAAAACCTAAATTGACACTTGAAAGGAAATGTTTTTATTCAGTTTCATGGATTTTTACGATTATACAGTTAAAAAACATAAGCAGTTCATGTAACAACGATGTATGAGGAAAGTAACCTATTTCAATTCATTTCGAAAAAATTTAAAGAAGTCATTGAAGAATATTTCAGTTCGTGAAGACCATTGTCACAAGGTGGGGCATTCCTAAATCAAAACAAAGAATTGTCAAAGTGAAATGTTCTCAAAATTTCTGTAGTGAAAATATTGTTGATGGGAACAATTCCTCATGTCAAACATCTAAAGTGAAAGTTTCCAACGTTAAATCAAATGATATTTGTGTGAGATTGGTCTAAAGAGTATTTTATTGAAATCGACTCCCGACGAAGCGAGATTGATTCTGTTAGTGTCTCCAATAAATGAAATGAATAAATGTGTGTAAAATTCGAAAGCAAGTCACTTTTATTCCTACATTCAAATATGTGATTGATGACTTGTTTACTTCATGGTAATTCATGATCACTTAAATGAAATGAATAAAAACACTTTTGTCTAAATACCACTGGAATTTAGTGGAATACCAGTGGTGTTTAGACAAAAGTGTTTGTATTGATTCATTTCATTTAAGTGATTTCTGCATTCAATTATTTCAAAATGAGCTTTCAATATTCATTTATGGGAAACTGGATACATACACAAACATATATGTAAACACTTTTTTATGTATTTGGGATGAAATCGTTTCTGTCAAAGTATAACCTATTTTTGATTGATTTACCGATATTATGTAACATTCCTTGTGTTTTCGGATCGTAGTGTTCATATTCTCTGATACATAATCATCAAATCGCTTCATTAAACAATACTTCAGATTTACTAATCATAACCGAGAGTTGTCTTTTTTCAGAAAGAATATTACAATAGTTAAATGGAACTTCAAATATTTGAATGTTTGTGCCTGTGGTTCCTTATATAACAAATGTTTTCTTTGTGCTTCATAATTGAATTACAATACCCAGGTATCACCCTTGTTTCCCCGAATAGTTAAAAAATAAGATAACTGAAAGCCCCTCTGTTTTTTTAAAAAAATATAAAGAAGAAGAGTTTGACTTTTGACTCATTAACGTGTCAACTGTCAAGAGGTGATTTTTCTTAGAGTTTTGGTAAGGTGTGTAGGCGATTTTAAAATAAAAAATCAAAAATGTTTGGTGGAGGACGTGCACCTATTTTAGTTTTAAGTAAGTAGAAATATAATTTTCACCGCTTCCCTCCTAAACAGCCGACTATCATTCATTTTAGGCCAAAATACTAAGCGTGAATCAGGCAGAAAAGTCCAGGTGGAAAACATCAATGCCGGAAAGGTATGAAAACACGTGCTTTTTAAACTTATTAAAAATCGGGAGCATTTCTTTAGATGATTTTTTGAATAAAACTTTCCGTTGATAATTCCAGCAAATAGCAGATGTGATTCGAACATGCCTGGGGCCACAAGCTATGTTGAAAATGTTGATGGATCCCATGGGGGGCATCGTAATGACGAACGACGGGAATGCGATCCTTCGTGAAATCACAGTGCAACACCCTGCCGCGAAGAGTATGATTGAAATCGCCAGGACACAAGACGAAGAGGTAAATTTAATTAATTGACTTGATATTATTAAATTTCATGTAGTACACTTGCCTACTATTATTATTATCCTCTAGGTAGGAGATGGAACTACTTCAGTTATTGTATTAGCCGGAGAAATGTTGGCAGCTGCTGAGCAGTTTTTGGAACAGCAGATGCATCCCACAATCATTATTCGACAGTACAGGCAAGCTCTCGAAGATATTGTGCAGTTATGTGAAGGACCTCTAAGTATTGCCATAGAAAGAGATGACAAAGCAGCTCTTGCTAATGTGGTAAGTGGTAACTGGGCATCATACTAATTGATTTCACAGCCTAACTAGTTTCTTTGTAAGTAACCATCTGATTTTAAACGTCGATAGAGAACTTATTTCTCAACTTAATTATTTTAACTTTATTCAAGGGTAATATTTTTGCAAGGTGTCGTTAGCGTGAACACAAAACTGATGGAAAACAAAAAAATATATTAGATATTTGTTGATACATAAATTTATATGTGATTTTACAATAAATAAAGGATTTATTGAATATGTCGATGTTTTATCATTAACTAGATGCAGATATCAATAAAATAATTTTTCAAATGACTTTTTTGGAATTTGTATCTCATTAAAATGTGATGTTTCACTTCTCATTGGCGAAAAAAGACAATATTTTCATCAATTTTAAGTAGATTTTGTGTCTTATATCAAATTATATTCATAATAGGCTTCGTATAGTACTTTAAAAAATGGAATTTTTTATTTTATCTAGTAAACTATTTCATGTGAAAAACTAATTAACAAATGAGTGTGCGAATATACAAGGTTTATTAAAAAAATACTTTGTAGAATAAAATCTTTTATGGAGTAAATCAATATATACTTCAAGATCGTGTTTGAAACATAGGAATAAATATTTCACAACAGTTCAAGGGAAACTACTGAATTGATCAATAATACGCAGTCTGTTCAAAAATTAAGGTGAATTTTTATTTTTCTCAAATGATAAACTACTCAAAATTAATATAGAGACACATCCTTGAAATCCAATAAGTAAAAAAAATATGTATTATTTCATGATAAAAACTTCTGGTGTGTACTCCATACTAATTTTTATCATGTTCCATTCGGATGTTGTTTACTTTTTTTACTTCTTTTTGTACTTTTAGCTACAAAATCATTAGTGTGAAAAATTCAGTATTTAGTTTCACTTCACTTTAGTTTGTGAAAGGTATTAGATTTTAAAATTCAAACAATGAATGTTGATGTATTGGGTAGAAGGATGACTGTGTGCAAGAAATTGTTCCATTTGGAGGTGGATCAATAATGGTATGGGGTGGTATAACTTTGACAGGACACAGGCCTTGTGGTATTTCGGGAAGGGACTTTAACGGCTGTCCGTTACATAGAGGAGATATATTGGGACCTCATGTCCTCCTATTTGGCGCTGGGTTCATTTTACAACAATATAATGCCAGGCCACACATAGCCAGGGTCGTGGGAAATTTCCTACAGGAGCACAATATTAATGTCAGATGGCCAGCTAATAGTCCGAATCTAAGTCCTATTGAGCAGCTCTGTGATGAACTGCAAACACGTTTGAAGGATTATCAACCCTTCCAAAATCTGAACCAAGTTGCAGATGCTCTTTTGACAATTTAAGAGTAGTTAAAACTACAAATAATTAGAAATTTGGTGAAAAGCATGCCTCGTCGTTGTGCCGAACTTCTTAGAGCCAGNTTAATGTTGTAACACGAAACAAGAAAATTCATAGGTATAGAGTGATATCATAGTGTGTGTAGAGTAGTATCATAGTAGTATCAAAGTAAGAACTTTGTTTTACCCTTTTCATGTACTAACATTTCTTTCTTTCAGGTTAAAGGTTGTGTTGGCACTAAATTCCTCAGCAAATGGTCAGATTTGGCAGTAAACATTGCCCTGGATGCTGTTAACACAGTTTTTCTAGAAGAAAATGGTCGCATTGAAGTGGATATCAAAAGATACGCCAAAGTAGAAAAAATTCCTGGAGGATCTATAGAGGAGTCTCGAATTTTGAAAGGTGTGATGGTCAACAAGGACGTGACACATCCAAAAATGAGGAGATATATCAAAGTAACTATGATAAAAATTCGAAAAGGGATGAGTGTGTTGTTCTATTTATTTTTTAGGATCCACGGATCATTCTTTTGGACTGTGCACTGGAATACAAAAAAGGAGAATCTCAAACCAATGTTGAAATTACTTCCAACATGGTAGGATTTGGTTTTATTAATCCTTCCAATAAAAAATGATTCAAAATCTTCAGAAAAAAAAATTCATTACTTCTCAAATTACTTGACTGCCGTTACTCAAGCCTCATTTTTCCTTAGGATTTCTCAAGACTACTGGAGCTTGAAGAGGAACACGTCAAACGTCAGTGCGATGACATTATCGCCCTCAAACCTGACGTAGTCTTCACGGAGAAAGGTGTTTCTGACCTTGCCCAACATTTCCTTCTCAAAGCTGGCATTACTGCCATACGACGAGTTCGCAAATCAGACAATAATAGAATCGCAAGAGCTTGTGGAGCTACCATCGTCAACAGAACGGAAGAATTACAGGAATCCGATTTAGGATTGGGAGCTGGGCTCTTTGAAATCAAGAAGATTGGAGATGAATACTTCTGTTTCATTGTCGAATGTAAGGATCCCAAGGTAAGAAGAAATTATTATTTTATTGTTCTGCTAATGTAAGATGAATGTGAAGCTCAAAATGAATGTGGTATATTTTGCAAGAGGAATTAGTTTTTGGGATAGAACTTTTGACTTTTTACTTCCAGCTTGTATCCTAAAGTAACTTCTATCAATGATCTAAACATTTTCACTAAAAAATTTTACAAAAACGCAACACGTGTTTCGCCATGCAATGGCTTCTTCGGGCATATATTTACTAACCGTTAGTAACGAACTGTTCCTTTAGATGATTTGATTTATAGTCATCTCCTTGATAAAAACTGTAATAAATCTGTGTATTGTCGACATAGCAGTGAGCAGTGCAATGTTTAAAAGATTTTAGAATTGTTGAGGTATATTAAAAAAACAAGTGGTCCTAATATAGAGCCTTGTGGGACACCGGACTTTCAGTTTCAGAGTTGTTGAACTGACATTTAATACACACCTGTTTCCTTTCAAGTAAATATGTCTTATTGCCAAGTTCAATAAAAAAAGTACGACAGTGCTCTTTATAACCTGCTTTGGCTTTTGTTCTTATTGCCGTTTTTTGGCACCTAAAAACACTAATGGAGTTACCTGAATGACCCCAAATCGGAATATCATATAACATACTATAGTAGGCTCTTTCAAGCGTCATCAGGCATCGGAACAAACAAAACAGTATAAAGTTTGTTAGTCACAGCTTTCATATGACCCGACTAGCTTAATCTATTGTCAATAACGAATTCTGAAAACTTTATTCTTTTTCTTGAATTAAATGAAGTTTAAAACGCGTTGTTTTAGAGCTCTTTTATGAAAACTACTTGATTTTCGTCAGGAGGAACATTCCCCATTGCTATTGTATAAAATAGCTTCCTCTGGCTAAATTATGCTTAATTTATGCTTTATAAAATAATTTGAATCATGTGACCTTCTAACTATGTAATGACTAATAATTTTACCTGTATTTAGGTAAAAACATGAAAATAAATAATAATCATTATTCTATAAATGCAATTCTAGGAGTTGTTCCCAATTTGTGGCTTCGTTTTTGTGCGGATACTACAAATGGTATTCCTGGATCTGAAGCAGGTTTTATTATTGTATTAGATCTAACGATTCTTATCCCCTCCATAATGTAAGGAATGAATAGCACTGGTCGGCACGGCTCGGCTCCTTTTCTTTGCTGGGCTCTTGTTATCTTTTGGTCAAAATCTCCTCTACCCAACTTTCTGTTGAAGAAATAATTCCGTTTCTTTATGGTTCCATATTTTATGAAGGTGTTGTCAGCGTATCTCAACCACATAGTTTCGTTTAACAACGTGGTGGTTCATGGTGCTTTTGTGGAAATTCATATGTCAGATTTCAGTATTTTCATGTTATTTTTTCCAGGCTTGCACCATATTGCTACGTGGCGCTAGCAAAGATATCCTGAACGAAACTGAAAGGAATCTCCAAGACGCCTTGCAAGTAGCGAGAAATATAGTTCTGTCCCCAAGGCTGGTTCCTGGAGGAGGTGCCATCGAAATGGCGGTAGCCCAGCGATTATTGCAAAAGGCTAGTCATGGTCCTTACAGGGCTTTAGCGCATGCTTTAGGTAAGATGTTTATTATAATTTGATTTGTTGCCAAGGACTTGCAGGCTTTTTTGAAAAAAAAATGTATTTGAAGACTTTCTCATTTCGTCATTTTAATTTCTAGAGATAATCCCTCGTACGTTGGCCCAAAACTGTGGTGCTAACACAATACGTACGTTAACGACTCTAAGAGCAAAACACGCCAACCATACAGACTTGAATAAACCATGCACTTGGGGTATTGATGGAGAGAGCGGTGAATTGGTGGAAATGGACAAGAAGGAGCTTTGGGAACCACTGGCTGTAAGTAGGACGTATCCATTATCCGGCTCGAAGGACCATTATCTAAGTTTACTTTGAGGTGTTTACTATTTTATTTACTTCTAGGTGAAACTTCAGACCTACAAAACTGCCGTAGAGACAGCCATTCTCCTTTTACGTATCGACGCGGTCGTTTCTGGTTCTAAGAAGAAGGGAGATAAAGAAGTTCCTACCCCTAGCCAGATGCAGCAGCAAGAGGCACAAGGAGCCGAGTAATTTCTTGGGATGCCTTTTAATATTCCATTAAATGCTTCATAATCCATTTTTTCATCTCAATTTTCAGGTATCGTTTGTACACCACTTCTTTTAACACAATTAATAAAAGTTACTTTTATTGCTAATGTATTCTTCTTTTTTTATGTAGAATTGATTCTTTTATTGAAGATTTTGTGGTAGAATCCTGGAACTCTTCAAATATATTCCTTATTCAGATGATATGGGTAAAAAGTAAGGAAGATTTCTTTGTAATATGTAATTACCAAAAAATTGTTTTTGTATCTTCACTGACTTCAGAGATATTAGCCCGTACTGAGACTCTTTGGACACCCGGATATGGTGTGTATATACATACCCACCACTCCAACAGACATAGTTATACACTTACATAAACATTATATACTTGAAAATAAACACCAAATGCGTTGTGCCGATGAAACAATTGTATATTCTCTGTTTCTCCGTACTGATGAGTCCTAGGAAGCTAAAATTTGGTACATAGTTGCTTAGATCTGCAATATGAAAAGATTTTCGAATATTCCAATTGTGGCTACCTCGTTGGGGTAAAAGGGGCGCGTTTACATATTTGTAGACTCGGTTTACTTTTATTGAAGATTTTGTGATGGAATTCTGGAACTCTTCAAATATATTCCTTATTCAGGTGATAAGGGTAAAAGGTAGTAAAAGTATAAGGAACTAGTAGATTTCTTTGTACATAAGTAACTGCTGAAAAATCGTTTTTCTATCTTCACTGACTTCAGAGATATTAACCTGTACTATGACTTCGGATACCCGGTATATTGTAGATATGTGAATAAATTTACTGTGTATATACATATATTACACCACTCCAATAGACATAGATATGTACACCTACATATACTTAAAAATAAGTAAGTATGTACATGATGAATCGTGTCGATGAAAAAAATTGAGCTAGGCCTAGGCATATATCTAAACTTATAAATGCGAAAGTCATTCACTTGAACACTCATTCTTCCCTGCTAAGTCCTAGGAAGCTAAAATTTGGTATATAGGTGCTTCTTAGGTCCTAAGGAAGGATTTTCGAATATTCCAACTGTGGCGCCCCCTGGTGGGGTAAAAGGGGCGCGTTTACATATGAAAATTACCTTTTTATCACTGTTTCTTCCTACCGCTATATTTTCGAAGACTGAAATTTTGTATGTGGATTCTTTATATGTTGATGTGCAATAAGAAAGGATTTTCAAATATTCAAACTGGGGAGCCAGCCGCGAAGACTTTCATCTCCTGATAATGATGACTTGATTAGTGAAACGCCCGTCGAGATACGGTATTTTTGAGGTTGACGTCACAGATTGCAAATTCTACTCATTAGGTAAGTGAGTAGAACTCTTTTTGCGTTCTAAATATTCTGTAATATTTTCAATCGAAATATTGATTTTATTTTGATGTTCAACTGAAAAAATTGGCAAATCAAACAGAAAAAAAGCGAAACTAAACACCTGGTTTTCCAAATTTTCTCGTAATTTTTTAGGTTATGCACAAATAATATCTGGTAATGAAATTGTAGATCTTCAAAATTCCTACATTTGTATTTACTTTTTTTTCAATGAAAGGTCTAGTTTTAGGGATGAACAACCAGTTTTCTCCCATAAAACTTGCTCAATTTCATCCCCCGACCCTGGATTGACTTTAATTATTTTTTTCCGTTAAAAGCGCAATATTGTCGATCTTTTCTAATATAGTTTATGCTATTACCACTTTTCTTCTCTATCATGCCTTTCTAACAGCCTCCTTCACTGGCCTATTATTTATTTCGCGCATCTTTCGTGACCAACTAGCCGCCAGCTGTAATATTCAAACACTCAGGAATTTCATTGGTTCGTCAACTCACACCTGCAACAGGTAAAACGCCAAAACACCACCTGTTTTTCTAACGGTTCACGCAATCCTTTATGCTCGCTTTGTATTGTGAGTTGTCTAAACACTACACAACTCGAAATAAATATGCTGTAATTTGGAGCAGAATGACTACATCGAATAATTCAAGGACCTTTCTATTTATATTCATCAACCACAAATGAATTGTTTTGCTCTTACTAATGAAATATGATAATCTGCGTCAAAACAAGTAAGTACCATCGGTGAACTTTTAATTTGATCCCCTTCCTTCTCTATGGTATGTGATACATCAGCTGCTTATGTAAACATTTTCATTGGAGATAAGAATTCTGTATTATCTTCAAGCACGGCCGCGCTATGCAAATATTCTTGAATATGTTTTAGCTAATGCATGTAGTTTTCCTGCGACTATTCCACGCGTATTTACAGGAGGAAGAAAATGCTCTTTCTAGTGCTGCTGCTCGTTTTTTATCCTTTTATTAATGTGACGGGTATAAATTTAACGTACATCGTCAAAAAAGAAAAAAATGTGATCTATCCTAGCTGTATAGCAGAGGAATTGGAAAGGTACACTGGAATAGGCTGGGTGTATCCTATACCCAATAGTGAAAACAGCATACCCAACATTAGTGAGTATCCATTTATTATTTATAAGTTTTCCCAAATGAGTTTAACCTAGGAATGAATGATTTATATTGACAAACAGTGTTGAACTGTTTAGTTTCTATTTCATCTGTTTGTTTAATAATTCACAGGCACTTTATAAAATCATCTCATATAACATCTCAATTGCTGATTGACATCTAATACATCAAATGCAAACAATGTATCTTTCCAATTAGCGAGTTTTCCAAGACAGATTCTCTTTAATGTATGGGTAGGCTTAATTGGGCCCTATTTTCTCCCCTTACGTTTAAATGGAGATGCTTACCTACATTTTTTGGAACACGAGCTTCAACTTATGGAATATGTTCCCATAGGTCTCCGAAATCACTCTTGGTTTATGCTCTGCTCATTTTAGTGTGTTAGCAAGACATTTTTTAGACGTAGCATATCCCCAACGATAGACAGGAAGAGGAGGCACTGAGCATTGGCCCCCAAGGTCATCGGACCTCAATCCCGTCGATTTTTTTTGGGGACACCTAAAATCCTTAGTTTTTGCTAGCCCCATCGAAAAAGAGGAAATGTGGAGGGATCGAATCATAGCTTGCTGCGAAACGATAAGAAACACTCCGGGCATTTTTCAACGGGTGCGGAATTCTTTGATGAGAACAGAAGCTTGTATTACTGTTGGGGGTCGTCACTTTGAACAGTTGTTGTAATAGTTGTTTCGTTCAATTTTTATGTTTATTTTCCTAATAAATAACAGTACTTCTCCGAATTGTTTTTTTACAAACTCCGAAATGTAGCACTTTCTAATTGAATAATTAAACCTGACAATTTTTTTTTATTTGGAATGAATAAGCAGTTCGATAATGCTCAGTTTAGAAGAAGTCTGTACAGGTATACTGCGTATAAAGTTTGATGGAAATAATTGAAATTGCAAAAAACTTATGACGAAAACCTACCATATTTTGAAAAATTTCAACAATCTGTATTTCGAAAACGAATCATTCTTTGTTAAACATTTTATAGGAAAAAGTTGTTTATTTTGACGAGATCCACCACATACTTAGTTTTTGTAATGTTATCAGCAACTTCACTTAGCGCCATAGAAACTAAGTAATATGCATCGATATAAAAAATTGTAAATATCTCGAAAACGATCACCTCCAGCGTTGTTGAGGAGGTGTACCATTTTTACTTGGAAAAGGTGTGGGAAAAGTACCAAAAGTTTACTGTCAAAAAAGTTAGGGCAATTTGAAATAAATAATGACAGCGTACGCAGCGCTTTCTAGATGTTACATGAAAATTAGTTCGAAATTATGATTTCCCACGTCAAAAAAACCTCGGGTACCGAATTTCGTGCAAATAAGTATTTTTTGCAAGAGTTATTTTCAAAAAGCGAACAAAAAAATTCAATTTCAACACCCCGTATCTCCGAAACGACGCATTTTGGACACAAGTTCATACAGACCTTTTTTCTTAAAATTGTGTCAGGAATACGTCACTTGAATATTTTAACGTACTTATGTTACACCCTGTATAACTAACAATTCAATATCATAAAATGATTGTTGATTATCCTACCAGTTCATTCATTTATTCGATGTCATTATCCTCAATTAAATTTGAATTTAACAAAAAACTTTAAATACAATAGTAGTACAGCACCTAGAAATAATTTATACAAGAAGGAATACAACTTTAATTAATGAGATTAAAGTAAGTAATTTGTTCACATTGATATGCGGGTTATTATTCTTCTATTTTTAGTCAGTGTATGATATCTCAGGGCCATATTTTGTAATGTGAAGTGTTTTATGGAGTAAATCAATTTACGAGGTTTGTTCTAGAAATAAGGTGAATGTTCGAATTTCTCGGGCTACGATTAGCGATTTATTTATTTATTTTATGTTGGCACACACGCCCCGAACTGTTCACAGTTTAAGTTATTTGGCTGGTTTACTTTGTTGGTGAGAGGCATAAAAGTTAGAAATAATGTTTTGCGTGTTCGGCGATTTTCTGCTATGGAAAAAAATTGTTCAAAGAACTTGCATAGAATTTTGTGTAAAAAATGGAATTGAGTGCTCAAAAATATTTGAAATGTTGATAGTGGTATACGATGATTGTACTCTATGTCCGAAAAATGTGAATGACGACGCTCGCCCTGGACGCTCTAGCACAACATCGACCGATGAAAATGTTGAAAAATTTAAGAAAATTTTTATGGAGAAGCCTTGAATCACTATTACAGAAGTTTCTGGGGATGTCGACATATCAGTTGGCTCATATCATGCAATTTTTTCGTAAATTTTGGGCATGAAGCGTGTGGCACCGAAGTTCGTTCTAAAATTGCTGAATTTTGGCCAAAAAAACTGTCGCATGAGCATTGCTCAGGAATTGTTGAATGACGGCAACGGTAATCCAGGTCCGGGTCAATAAGGAGTATTATAATGAAGTTATGCGCCGCTTGCGAGAAGCTATACGAAGAAAGCGTCCGGAATTGTTGAAAAACATTCATGGCTTTCGCATTACGATAATGCACCTGCTCATTCGTCGTTACTTGTTCGTAATTTTTGCCCAAAAAATACGTAATCATGCCTTGGCCGACGCATTCACCAGATTTGGCTCCTTGTGGCTTTTTTCAGTTCGCAAGATTGAAGAGACCCATTAAAGGATGTCATTTTGCGACGATTGAGGAAATAAAAACTAAATCACCGAGAGAGCTCAAGGACATACCAAAAAGTGCACATCAGAACTGCTCTGAGGATTGGCACAACTCTATATTATATCTGAAGAGGACTACTTTGAAGGGGACAANTGAATATTCAAAACATTCTGCCATTATGTGCCTGTTCCTTGTTATATTTGCATAGTTACATGAGGAACTGCTATTTTTAGAACAGAACATCACACTTCAAGTGTTTCTATTTTGAAACGTTTCCAAACCATGCATATTATCATATAAAATAAATAAATCTTCGATTTTAATTGAACTACTTTCTTAATATTTGTTTTGTTTGCATTATTGAGGGTATAAATTAGGTTGATAAAGACAGCCAGAAAATTAGGGCATACATATTGTGACAAATTATTAAATCAACTGTCTTAAATAAATTTATTTCCAACAATATTTCACTAATCACAAACTAATTTATTTACAACACTTAGCAACTTACGCTTAATATATTTCCACTATTTGAATTTTTTGTTTAGCCGCTCGATTCACTTTCTGAACTGCCCTCTTGGGTCGGGAAGACGTGCTTATATCGGTAACGGTCCTTTCTGGAAATCTGTAGTCGGTTCGGTAATAGAGTTTTACCGGCGATTTATTATTTGAAACGTGAATAAATGAATGTCAAACACTGCAATCATTGAGGTAATTAAAAAAATCTAGACTTCTTAATGATATTGCTAGTGCTACATGCACTTACTGACATAGTGTAGGCACAGAATTTGTCACATATTTAACATGACAATTTTTGTTTCAATGTTTATTCAGTTATTTCTACCTTTTTTCAAAACCAAATGAACCAATTGATTATTCGTTTATTTTGACTCATCAATTATTTCTGGTTGAAGTATTCCCTTTGAGCTGTCATGCTAAGCATGATGGGTCCTTAAATTCATACACCCAATTTGCCTACCCAAGCGTCGACGCTTGGGAGCGTAGGCAGATTGAGGCCCAGGCGTCAAGTCACACATCCCTTGCAGCCTGTCAACACCTGAGGAGTTGGTAGATTGAGACCTCAGTGTTGTGTATGATGATTTGAAGTCCGAATTGAACCGCGTCTGGTATTTTCAGTTGTTCGACGTTTCTACTCTCAGTCCGCTTACTTCTCTGGTAGTGACAGGCTTCGAGGGTTTTGTGACTTGACGTCGGGGTCTCAATCTGCTTACTCCCTAGCGTCGAGCCACAGCCGTAGCATTGATGACACTTATCTAATGGCCCTCATTATCGAAGGTTAAGATTCACCCAAATTAATTAAAAGTTAGTCATCTCTTGATAATGCCAACTGCTTGGTAAGTGAAACCCGTCTTGAGAGACAGTACTTATGTTTAGGGATTTTGCGACCAAGGTTTTCAGTGTCACTATTTTTTGGGGTTTGAAGGCTGTCGATTTTTGGAATTTATTTCTGAGTAATCTCCGATGATATTGATGGTTCCTGAAAACTATATAAGGTAAAGGAACCATTAAATGACTTTTTGAGGAAAAAAAATCGGTAACATTTTATATCTCGAAACATTCAACAAATAGGCAGTAGCGGCTCATTGCAAATTCATATTTTAATGTCCTTAAATGATGTATGCATGATGGTTTTTCAAAAAGTTGATTCAATTTTTTTTTACTTATTAACATACAGAGCTATATTTTCTCCAATAACTGACATACATGAGTTAAATCCATTGGGTAGTACATCCGGAGTTACTAACAACAATATTGCCTTTTCGAGTATAGTTGCAAAGTCCTTCCTTCACCTTACAGCCATTATTATCAATTTTCTACTGCTGAACTGCATTCCTCCAAGTACTTTTCAAGGTACGAAAAAACAGCCACGTTTGGCTGTGTTTGCAGTCAATAAAGCAGTCATACACTCTTTATCATTATTAGCAGAGAATTATACACTGTTGATGCCCCTTTTTTCACCAATACTCTGTTACCTTTAATGAAAAGTGAAAGTTCAACCATGGAAGGGCATAAGTTTCTCAATTGAATAACTAGTATCTGACAGTGTCGAAACCAATACCTGACAGAGATGTTAGCTACTGGAACAGAGATTAATTTCGATATGTCTCAACCACCAGTGTGTTTCACATCAAAAAAGGAATTTATTCAACCTATTTGTCACCACTTTTCTATTGGAAATTGACGACCCCAATATCTGACATTCATGTCAGAAAACCGCGGCACTAAAATAGTTCAGAATTCCTTTTGATACATCCAGCACCAGCATTGTCGTTATAAGTTAATATTGCTTATTTTTTGACGTTCACCACGAAAGTGTCAGTTATGGGAGTTATGTCAGAAATGGGTTCCTTTACCTTATTTGAGACATCAAATCAGACATTTTTGTCCCCAGTTTTTTCACCTAGCTTTTACATTTTTCATCTACCGCTTGTCAAAACTAGAAAGATAGAAAGAGACCACGAAAGTGTCAGTTATGGGAGTTATGTCAGAAATGGGTTCCATTACCTTATTTGAGACATCAAATCAGACATTTTTGTCCCCACTTTTTTCGCCTAGCTTTTACATTTTTCATCTACCGCTTGTCAAAACTAGAAAGAGACTTGAGAATTATATTTCTCCCTCTCACACACACGGTCTCCTAATGAACGTGCATTTGAGGGGAGGTGCTAAGCCAAGACTTTGGAGTCACTTCCTAGATTTGACAAGTGTACATGGTGCAGTAAATTTGTTGTTACTGTAATTAAAAAAAATATTTCAGGCCTACTCGAACATCCTGTCTGCACAGGAATGGAGGAATTTCATTCTGAGTTCGGATGCCCAAGGCGTGATTAAGCTCGTTGACGTGAACCTGAATAGAACGTTGATCGAACACACTATAATGGAACCACTTGCCCCTATGTATATGCTAATGAGGAGTACTAATTGCAGCTTGTGGAAAATACACCAAAGTATATATGGATTTCAATTATACTATTTAGAATAAGTGATATTATTATCATCTATTTTTCTGGATATTTGTTTTTGTGACGGTTACATGGAGGCCCTTAAATCAAACCTAACCTCGATTCAGCAAGCTTTGTTAACGATAATGTTACGTTTTTACCCGTGGGTTGATAATAATTGACTACACTAAATAATCAAACTTACCTTTATAATAGAGGAGCCCAAGCGGGGATTTCGGGATTTACTAAAGCGCGGCAGATTAATATACAGGGGGATACATTGTACCCGGTTAAGTANAAATATTTTTTAATGAAAATTTGACAGTTTTGATTTATAACGACTACGAATCCAGTGGTGTAGTCAAATTTGAAAACAAAAATTGCCTAATAAACTTTTGCCGTTTTTGACAAACAAAAAAAACCATAGAGTGCCTTGGAAATGAAACTAAAATTGTGAAAGTTAGTGTCAAGATACAGTTTTTTGTGCTTAATATTTCAATAAAAAAAAATTGAGATTGATTGAAAAATGCACATTCTACAGGGGTGGTTCCATTTTAAATGGGTCACACTGTATATATTTTTAAATTGTATACTTTTCAACGAAAAAATAATAATCATTATTACCAAATAAACGATAATAACTATTATTATTATTTTAAAACATTGTTTATCAACCACAAGTGAAGTCGATACCAACGGTGAAAATTCAATTGCTGTAAAACGTCAAAAAATGATTTCCCAATTTTAATATGTTTCAGATCAATTTTTGTTCACCAACGGTTCCCACATCTCTCGATTAGGACCACAGTTGACCATCTCCAGTAGAGACTTGTGCGTCTCACTTTTCGTTAAATCTTGCAGAAATTGCGAAATAACATTCTTTTATCAAGATGGCATATCGAGGAAGGTTCTGAAACAAATTGGCCCTACAATAGTAAGTTACTATCGTGAACTTGAACAGTATATTTTTAAATTTGTTCAAATGACCTAAAATTCCTCCGTGAGTAAGGGCGATGACATCCCCTCTTGCGAAAACGCCATCTATTGGGTCGACAGAGAACTCAATCGTCTAATATCAAAGATGGCTCTGTAAGGCGGGGTCAGTTGCATAGCCAAGCTTCGACATTGGCTACTGACGGGATTAGTCTTTCACTGCAAGGCAACCAGGTGTAAACTAGAACCAAAAGGAGCCTCGTTTATCTTTGATATTCTAGGATCGAGTTCCCTATCGATACCATAGATGGCGTCTTGTAAGGGAAGATGTAATCGCCCTTCTTCACTTAGGCTTGTCTTTTGAGGACAGTTGAGTCCAGCAATGCATTTGTGGTTCAGCTTAGTACCACTGATGAGACCTAGGGCGGGTTGAAACAGTGCTATCTGGTGTTGAGTTATAAATGCGTTGTTTGGGCTCTATAGATGACAACTAAAATTCCTCCTTGTCTTATTTAAGTTAAATTTCTGCAGAATGAAGAATGGATGGAAATTAAACTGAAGGAAGAAAACATCCAAATAGAAAAAGTAAACATTTTCGTGGAAACCAAATTTGTAGACAAAAAGTTGAATGTATCTGGCTTTTGGGCTATCGACGATGTGAGGGTTTGCAATGAAAACGGTAACTTTTATTTAATTTTTTAATATCTGTATCTATTGATAAAGTAGTAGAAAAATTGATGACAAACTAAAGAAATCACAAATATATTCAGAAACAATAGATTAGTATTAAAATACGGCTTATTGACACACCTTCAACACTTTCATGCTAGGCAATGAAACAGACTTTTTTTGAACTCATTTCTGAAATTTTGGAATATTTCTGGTATAATGCTAGCACAAGTTTCGATAATTTTGTTTTTCGGTATTTTTCCAAGTTGCGTAACATAAACTTTCAATTTAATATGTACCCAAAGGAAAAAATCGAGACGAGTCAAATCCGGTAAAAGAGCAGGCCATTCCAACGAACCACCCATACCAGTCCACATGTCTTGGTATGTCTGATTCAACTAATCCCTTGCAGGCCTATAATAATGTGAGGCGCTCCATCGTGTAGAAAAATAACTGGATTTTCAAGAGGTTTCCAAGAATTTTCAAATATAAATCACCAGTCAGATTTCCTCTAGATATATAGGACTAACAATATAATTTCCCACTATTCATACCCAAACAACTATTTTCTTAGAAGTTTGAATGTGACCTTCTCGAAAAATACGTGGGTTTGTCTGACCAATATCGCGTATTTTGGCGGTTGACGTTTCCGTTTGCGGACATTTGTCACTGAAATAAATACGTACTCTATGCAGTTTCAATTTACAATCAAAAGTTCGGACATCAACTTACAAAACGGCAATCTTCTGTCCGAGCCGTCTTCATTAAACTCATGTAATATCATCAGTTCATAGGGTTGGTATTTCTTCACGCTGGTTGTTGAGACATCATTTTCACGAGCAACTGTTGTGGATTAGGGGGGTTAATCACTAGGGACATAACGATTTCCTTCTGTTTCTCGTCCGAGTCAGATTTTTTCCTGCTCCTCTGGCTCTACCTACACTTCTTGTTGTTTAAAATTATTCAACTAATTCCCAGGCAATCCCTATCTTCTGCTAAATCGAGTTGGATTTCAAATCCCTGACTCTTTCGTGCTCTCTGCCTGTGATATAGGCTTAGTTAGAACTCTTAAGAGGTGCGTTGCACGGTCGAGACTAAATTCTCGCCGCCGTGTTCTTTGTTGAACTCTGTTCAACTCGTAGCTTCCTGGGGTTACTAGCCAGTGACCTTACCTCGCGGAGATGAGAGGCTTTTTGAAGCGGGAAGGGTCGCCGATATCATAATCTACCGCGGCCCTGACTGGGGGTTCTCGTGAGTTTCTGCCATTTCGAAAACTCCTCTATTTCGAGTCTGTATACTATCCCGAATGGTTGGGAGATTCAGATCCCGTCTGATGTTTGCGTTCTGTACATACCACGGAGCGTTTGTTGCCATCCTTAGTATTTTATTCTGGACCCGTTCCAGAATTTCAACGTGAGTTTTCGCTGTGTGTCTCCATACCCTGAGGCATACATAATCATTGGTTTAAACACAGTCTTATGAAGTAAGACTTTGTTTTTAAGACTTAGCTTGCTCTTGCGGTTGAATAGGGTAGTAGGTGTAGTAGTAGTAGGTGTGCGCGGGGATGGCACCGATTGTATATGCTTCTCCCAGGTAAGCTTGCGGTCTATCGTTAGGCCTAGGTATTTAACCTGTGAGATCCAGGCGATTTCTTGTCCTGCCATGATAACTCGAGATTTAGGTGGGCGCTTTGCCTGCCTAATGCTATCGCTTGCGTTTTTGCGGGGTTCACACGGATTTTCCAGTCCAGGAACTGATTCCCAGAAATGTTTTCAGTAAATCGGATTATCAAGAACTATGCCTCGGCGTAAATAAGGAATGCTTCTATGTTTTGATCCAAAGATTCGACACGAACCATTTTTGAAAATTTTATTTAAATGAAATGGGGCTAATTCTCAGTATCAACAGTGACAGCTGTCAAGCTAACACATGTAAATAGTTACACTACCCTTATCCACGCTTGTACACATTGCCTCAATTTAATGCAAAGTGCAACAGACTGTTAGTCGACACTGGAAGTCACAGCATTCTGGAAATTACCTGATTTTATGTCGTCAGCTGTCAACTACGAACTGCCATCTAACCTCATACACAAGTCAGTATTGTCGGACAGTCAAGCGGCGTTGCCAGCTTCTACCAAACAACGTTCAAATTGGTATCGAATTGCCAAAAACGACTCTTCGTCTCTAGAGGAAGACTTAACAGATTGTCTCTTGTCTGGATTCCTCGCCATACTGGCCTGGAAGACAATGAGGCTGCTGACTCCTTTGCAAAGGAGGGTGCTGCAAGCGGCTTTATTGGACCAGAACCTGTCATTGGCATCGCTTTGGGCTTTGCCAAAAAAACACTCAACACCTGAATCATCATATGCAGAGATTCGGACTGTCGGAAGACATTGTGTGTCGCCTCTGTTTGGAAAATAAGGAAACAGCAGAGCATATATTTTGTGCCTGACTCGCTGGGGACCGAATCAGGTTTTTAGAGTTCGGCAGAACCGAACTCTCACCATCTCACCTGAAAGACCACTCACCATACAAACTAATCTGCTGCCTTAAGAAGCTGGGTTAATTTGGTCGAGTGTCAATAGGTGTGAGCCACAATAAACCCTTGTGGGTTGCGGTGGAATATACCCACTCAATTTGGACCTAACCTAAACTAACCCAACCCTTATCTACGAGTAAATAGTCCATCACTCTGTCAACTACGAACTGCCATCTAACCTCATACACAAGTCAGTATTGTCGGACAGTCAAGCGGCGTTGCCAGCTTCTACCAAACAACGTTCAAATTGGTATCGAATTGCCAAAAACGACTCTTCGTCTCTAGAGGAAGACTTAACAGATTGTCTCTTGTCTGGATTCCTCGCCATACTGGCCTGGAAGACAATGAGGCTGCTGACTCCTTTGCAAAGGAGGGTGCTGCAAGCGGCTTTATTGGACCAGAACCTGTCATTGGCATCGCTTTGGGCTTTGCCAAAAAAACACTCAACACCTGAATCATCATATGCAGAGATTCGGACTGTCGGAAGACATTGTGTGTCGCCTCTGTTTGGAAAATAATGAAACAGCAGAGCATATATTTTGTGCCTGACTCGCTGGGGACCGAATCAGGTTTTTAGAGTTCGGCAGAACCGTACTCTCACCATCTGACCTGAAAGACCACTCACCATACAAACTAATCTGCTGCCTTAAGAAGCTGGGTTAATTTGGTCGAGTGTCAATAGGTGTGAGCCACAATAAACCCTTGTGGGTTGCGGTGGAATATACCCACTCAATTTGGACCTAACCTAAACTAACCCAACCCTTATCTACGAGTAAATAGTCCATCACAAAAATTTTCTGAATCATCGTAAAAAAAAATGTTTTAATTTTTTTTTGTTGTTATTATTTTTCAGAGGTCAGGGTATCTTTCTTGAGAATGAATAACAGTAAAAACTTCTCTGAGGAAGACATTTCTTGCCAGTTGATTAGAAAACCAAGCTGGAGACCAAAAAAGCTGACATATGATGGAATCAAAGGTAACACTTGATGATTTTCTGAAATACTTTTCAGTTCAGCCTAAAATAGTTCTGTCTTCATTTTGCAGATTTTCCAAAAATATCTGGCATCACCAATGTGAACTCCATTAAACTGAAATGGTCACAGGAAGACCCATCAAACCAAATAAGTTATTTCATTTCTTATAAGGTTGGTATTCCATCTTATGTATGTTCTACCGTTACTGGAAGTATTTCCTTTCAGGCAAATAATTTGGAAAATGATATTTGTACCAGTTCTTATGACTCTACAAGATCAAAGTCTAATGGTTTCATCAGTACAAAGTTGAATGAAGTCGTCTTGGAGAACCTGGTTCCTTATACAAAATATAACATCACCATATCGACTGTTTTACATGAAAATGACAGAAACCTGGTTCTACAGACACTGGAAACAGGTATTTTTTTATTACCACGTGTTTTTTATTTCAGTGTTTTAATGTGCACTATATGTATTGATATTCACATGTGCTCATCTATTTTACCAAATTGGTAAGATCATTTTGAATCAATGACTCTGATATCTTTCAAATCAACTTTTTTCTATTCATTTCATTTTGTTGAAATGTAGGTTTTTACCCGAGCTTGCAACTAGGTGATTTGAGAGCTAAGTGTATTGTTAGGTTTTTCCCCGTGGGTTCACCAATAATTGACTACACTGAATTATCGAACTTAATTTTATTTCACTTTATTACAGCAACACTTCAACTACTATTTGAATGTCTATCGCCTTACTAGATCACTTCGCTTACCGCACTGTAGCTTCTACTTGACTGTGTCCATATCCTCGTGGCTAGCCTTTAAATATTGTAAACGCATGCCGTAAAAATTTCGCCAAAGTTCCGCCGAAATCGACAGCATTATTCTCGCTGCTTCTCGAGTGGCGGGGAATCATCATACACTCGCGCGCTCTTATCCACGTGACGCCTGATTTATGGCTACCAGCGGCGGCCGACGTTATTTACTTTCGGGCATGATTTACAACAGTATTGAAGTAGACCTCCCAAAATTCAACACTTCTATTGAAATTACATTCATTAGATTAGATCAGGACTGATTCATACTGTAATGTTATCTTACTCTTTTCTGAATTCAGAAAAGAGTAAAGTAACATTATAAAATCGGGCCCCACGTTGGGCGCCAATTTTGTAACGTTACCTTACTCTTTTTGTGGATTCAGAGTAAGATAACGGTACAAGTGCCACGACTAGCACTGGATTATGCGGAGGCAAGAGCGTGGTTCGTTTCTTGATTCTTTATAGAGGCTCAATATTGGGTGCTGAAAAGGGTTACCAAATCCAAGTCCTTATTTGGGCGCCATCTACAAAAGTTTATATAAATAGGGCACCCTTTTCAACACTCGTCACTGTAGATCAACTTTGCTACACAGGAATAGGAGACGCTTCCAGACTGCCAATAAAACAAGGACTTGTATTTGGTAACCCTTTTCAGCACCCAGTATTGAGCCTCTTTAAGGAGTCAAGAAATGAACCACGCTCTTGCCTCCGTATAATCCACTGCTAGTCGTGGCACTTGTACCGTTATCTCACTCTGAATTCAGAAAAGAGTAAGGTAACGTTACAAAATTGGGGCCCAACGTGGGGCCTGATTTTGTAATGTTACCTTACTCTTTTCAGAATTCAGAAAAGAGTAAGGTAACGTTACATTATGAATCAGTCCTGATGCTTGGGTTAACTTGGTCAAAACTTAGCCTAGATCATTTTTTTCTGTCATGGCTTATCATTATAAAGTCAATTTTATTAGTCTTTCAGTTTGACCCACATAATTAGATCTGAGAAGTGTCCATTATCTGCTTGACAATTTTTTCATCTCATTCTTATTAGCAAAATTTTCATATGCCATTGATTCTAGATCAAAAAAGGAATATGCTTCTACTTAATTATAAAAACATAACTTTCTCTGCTTTCAGTGGAACCAAATCTAGAAGAGTTGCCATTCAATATCCAGGTGAAAGCTCTAGACACGTCCATAAATGTCTCCTGGGAAAACGTAGATTGTTCTAAGAAATATGGCCGAATAGTATACACTTTAATTGTGAGCAACAGCGAATTGAATTTCACAAAAGAAATCTCACTGCAGACGGAAAATAGCTACAAGATAGACGGCTTGGAACCTTACACATCTTACGCGTTGAAAATCATAACGGCGAGAAATGGAAGAAACATTTACAGAGGAGTCCATACTAATACTTACAATTTGAATTTCACTACCATGGCAGGAGGTATGCAAATTATTTTACGTCAGTTGAATAAGCTCTAAAAGGAGCAATGTTTTTCTAACTTAATCAACTTTTCTCGTGGTTTCTGATTTTCCCATGATGGCCCTCCTTATCTCGGACACATTGTATATCAAAAGTAATTTAGATTGTATTTTTTCGTTGAACTGCTAACACTGTTATCGGTTTTTGTATCGATAATGAACTTCATTGTTCTCATTATTTTTTCAGTGGCTCCACCTGTAGTCAACCTAGAACTGTACTCCATAGACCAGAACTCAGCGTCTTTGCGATACGAATTACCTGAAGATACCCGTGGCAAAATCAGAGAAGTCCAAGTCAGGAGATGCAATAATCTCTCCTTCAACAAATGCAAACCCTCGATAACTCACGTTAGACCATGCAATATATGGCCTGGTAAATACTGTGTCGATGACAACTATCTGATCCCCTTCCAGTCATACTCGTTCCGAGTCAGTTTAAGGAATTTAAACACTCCCTCGTTTGGTGATGAAGTTAGTGTAAAAGGATTCACTACTGACAGAGGTTGGTATTTTTTGTGTTTATTTATTCTGTATAGTTTTGTTTTTCGAAACTAATAAGATTTATTTCGATTTTCACTTTGGAAGGTTCACAAAACTACTACACGTGTTCAATAGCTTCCAAAAGCAGGATTTGATCATCTACTTTCAAACTGAAACGTGTTATATTCTAAAAACATTACTATGTTCTTCGGTTCAATCAGGTAAATGATTCTAGTTTTAACTACCTGAAAAGAGATGAAACAAAAATTTCATCAACTAGTTAAAGCACATTAATACAGGTTAAAATTATATAAACAACGAATAAAACACCTTCTTGCACAGTTTGAATTCAAATCATGATTATCCGGCTCGAAGGACCAAAAATATGTTGAATATCGATGTACATGGACTGTATCTCTGGTATTTGAAGAGTAGAGAGGGTGACTGTAGACTAACAGCACTTAGGCCACATGTGACCCATTGTAAATTCTGTCCTTTCCAGGAAGGTGAACAGGTCACTACGAGACCTTTATATTGGCAAGTGTGGGTCAAGACTCGTATCGTATATGGGGGATGCGCGAATAGTCACAAATGGAAGCAAATAGAGTAATACTGTGGTCTGAATAATAAAAAATGAATACAAATGAAAATACTTTCAGAAAACAAGGGTGTAGTTCTTGATTTGACTACTTGTTGGGATAGGAACCTTTAATTGGCTAGCTTGTCTAGTATTATTGTGGTGAGGCGGAGAAGTAAAGGTACCTTTGTTCTTGTTGCTGATTCAAGAATAAACAATTAAGTCACAGTTAAAATTCCATGCATTAAAAACAGTGGCTTACAAGGATCATTCCACTTTCTCGAAATTACATAATTTTTTTTCAGTACCTGGCAAACCGACAAACGTCACATACAAAATAGTCGACTGTCACGTGTCAACGGACTACTGCCATCTGAACGTCACGTGGCTACACCCTCTCGACCAAAACGGCACCATTACCTCGTTCAACATCATCTTGAACAGTACCGACAAGAGAAAAGATTCTGAAGATGATAAATACATCCACGAGGTTTACAAAGTCGAGAATAAAACCTATTATCACGATTATACTTACCAGGTAAGATGCTCTGCAATTTTTTTTTCCTAAGAAATGTTAATATTCATTATATGAACCCACTAATCTATATTTACCTGAACCACGAATGTAGGTTTGAATTCTGAAGTACCACTCAATCTCAAGAACTTGGTTGTTTTAATAATTTTGGATCAGAATAGACCGAATGCATTTGTAATGACCGCCCAGTATTATTTTGAGAAGTCCTAGCGGAAGTCTATATAGTTCAGACACAATAGAAAGCTAAAGACCTTACACCTGATAAATTTCTCCATGATGAATTCATTACATAAAATATTAACGTTTCTAGGAACAATGCATCATACTGTAGAATAATGAAAAAAAAGTTTCACCTGAGACTTCATTTTATCTACTTTTGAGATCTATTCTAATTACCAATTTCATCAATAATGTGTAACAATTCAAATATATTTGATCATTCAGCAATAATCCAGAATTCTCAAATCTATTGATTTCTAAGCATTCAGAAAGGTTGAGTTTCGAACTTTTCTTTCCAAAGTGCAATACGTCATAAATTATGACGATTATGACTCATAATTGTGATTGAACTTGAGCCCTTCTGTCAAAAGATGGTTTTCAAATGTTGAACTGATCTTCTCATTTAAAAATCTGTTTTAAAATCTGTTTTTCCGTTAATCACCTGTCGCCCCCATACGAACGACAACTCTCAGAAGTTGAGAAACTTGTTCGAGCTAAGGACTAACGAGGTCTTACCTTTTGACCTGTGATTCCTAACACGGTTGCAGAATCATTCCAGCTTCAACCAGGAAAATTCTCTCGAGAAAAATGTCGGGGCGGGAATCGAATCCACGGTCTTCCGATCGTGAGTCGGGCGCACTACCACCGCGGCCAATTCCACACATTCAAAAAACTACTTCTATGCTCTTTTATTCTTCTGGATTAAGTTCTTCACGTTTCGCCAGTATAAAATTTAAAACCACAAGTCAATTCATATATTCCTTATTTACGTCGAGGCCGGCAAATTTGTGAGTTGATGTCCGAACGTTTGATTGCAAATCGAAACTGCATACAAAGTATTTCTTTCAGTGACGAATGCACATTTTGCTTAAAAAGAAATGTCAACCGCCAAAATTTGGGATATTCGTCCGACATCTGTTAAAATCTGTTTTTATGTTAACGGAAAACCAGATATTGGTCAGACATGAACCCATATATAAAATAAATGTCTGAGCAGGAGCTTTGGAAAATCATATTGTTGGTCCCATATATATTTCAATATAATCAGTAGTCTAGAGGAAAATCTGACTGCTGATTTATATTTGGAAAGTCTGCAAAACCTCATCCACCTTGGGATTCATGAAATTGTGGCCAACAATCTCAATAAATTCAAAATTTCCGTTGTTTTTCAACAAGATGATGCCCCTCACAATTTTGTAGGCATGTTGATTGGTAGGCGCGATCCGTTGGAATGGCCTGCTCGTTCACCGGATTTGACTACAATTAGTTAGTAACTTGACATATTCAGATTGTGGAAAGTTATAAATCGAATAGGTAATAATCACCAAAAAACAATTATCCAAATAAAATGAGTTTTTTTATCGAATATATTTGATTCATTGGAGTGTCATAGGGAAGATGATACAGAACTGATTCACTGGAGGATATCGGTTAAAAACACTTCAGGATGGTTCATTTTGCAGTCTGTATTATGCCTTACTGGCGAATATTTCAATGCTAATGTACAGGCTTCTAAAATGAAATATAATAAATGAATACTCTAAACAGAAGTAGACAAGACTTTTGGTGAAAATCCATAACGTATTCAAGAAACACTTTATTGTGAGATTTTCACTAACTTTCTTAGGAGTAAAGACATGCCTGAAGACGCTTTTGTGTGGAGAAACACGTGTTGCGTTTTTGTAAAACTATTTAGTGAAAATCTCACAATAAAGTGTTTCTTGAATAAAAAATCAGTAAAGGTTAATTAATTTGATCAATCAATTGAACTCCACTGATTTTTTAGGGGCGTTGTGTTTTTTCTCAGAGTCTTTGTCTTGTCGACTTTTGTTTATTGTGTTCATTTATTCTATTTCATTTTACAGTCCTGTGATTTACTTTCTCAAGATTCAAATGTTCATGCTTATTACATGCTAATTTGCCAATATTTTTTCCAGATACACAGCACTATGTTTTGATGATAGTTGATGTTTTTATTTCAGATAAAATACTTGCCTTACAGCACCTACTACAATCTATACTTGCAATCCGCCAACACAAAGTACGAAAGCGATTTTACGCAGCAGACTATCAAAACTGACAACATAGGCGATCACATAGACCAGAGTCCAAAACTGATTGCCAAAAGCGATTCCACTCTTATATTCAAGATTCCGCGCTTGGATAGAAGGTTAGAGTTCTACACGCTCACTGTAGTTGTGCAAGACTACAACGAGTCTAAGAAAATCGACAGTCGTTTGTTGAAAAACAAGAAAATTGTTGACAACGTTTGTCACCAGTTCGGGGAGACTTGGATCTCACAAGTTGTCAAGGTAAAATCATTTCCAAATGAACCTGAAAGAATTAACTTGAATAAAGTTCAATATTGAATCAATAATTGCAATTTATAAATGAAAGCAACATGATAGCAGCAGTATTTATGATGTTCTGAACGGCATTAATATTTATTGACCCAGTTTGCTGGGATAATCAATATAAAATCAACTAGAATGAAAATAAATCCATGTTTCAGGTGGTTAATAGTAGCAAAACTGAAAATATAATCATAGACAGTGCCGGAAAAAATAAGCTGAAGCCTGAAACGAAGTATTGCGTTACTTTCATCATCACGAATCAGTACAAGGGATCTGAGCACGACGTTATTTACTATGAAAAATTGAGAATGCCTCCCGCTCAAGCTCCTCCTCCAAAAGAAGAACCGAGTAGTAATTCCTACAGCCATCTCTGGATTCTGCTTCTCCTTCTTCTGCTGATACCAGTGGCATTCCTGATTTATAGGTAATATTTGCAATAATATGTAACAAGGGAATGAATGAGAATTTTTTGTTTGGCACCAAATTATTATTAATGATTTGCCACAGCAGATACAAGAGTCGAGTTTGAATTGATAGGGGTAACTTTTTGGGAGGGATTGATTTTCGAATAAGAAAGGTTTTGACATTCTACTTCTTCATTTTTATACAAAAAAAATTGTGGGACTCTTCCAAAGAAAGGAAGAAAACAATTCGTTTCAAAATAAGCTCTTCACAAAGATGTATAGAACATGCAAAAAAGTAACTTTCAGAAACAAACCAGAAGAAACAGGTCTCTCGAAAGCAACTACACACTTACATATAAACATCCAGTTACACGAAAGAAAAAATACTACTACTTATAGTAGTTGAATCATACAAAAAAAACTTTTTCCTACTTAGTTTGTACCCCAATCATACGTTATGGAATTTATCCAGATATCATTCACAGGATTGCTACACGATATAGTGTATAAAAGAGGTAATATTTCACTTACATGGAACACTGCCAACCTCAATGCGGACATGGATGTTTCGGAATAAAACACTTTTCTTATTGCCTCTTCAGCACCTATCTATAACATTACAAGATGAAGCAATCAAACTTACTACCTTATTACTTGCTTATGTCACAAATGACTTGAAACTACTCATGCAATTGACACCAAAAAAAAAAGATTTATTGGATATCTTACTCGAATCTCTAACACTTTCAGTTTATTCTTCTCAAATGTAACTTTCATTGGTAATTGATTTTTCAAGTTGTAACTTCATCAATTAACTTTTTCAGGTACCTCCGAAAAAAGAAGGTGATATCGAAACCCTCCGAGAACAATGAAAACGTCTACGAAACACTGCCATTTGACGAATGCGAACTCAACGATACAGACTTCAAAAATGGAAAAGTTTCTTCGTTTGCGAACAAAACTTATGGCGGATGATTCCAGAGGAAAAGATAGCAGAGTTGTGCCTTACAATTGAGCCTGTACTTATCCCAACTGTGATATAACACCAACCTTTTTTCATTTACCTTTCATCGAACAATTTTCCAAGGAATAGATGTAACCGTAGCTTTTAGAATCGACTCAAAAATTTGTAAGAATACTGAATGTCTTCTTACATTACCTAATAGTACTAAATATTTTAATGTGCAGCTTTTTTTTTAAAGTGTCAGGACTCGAGAAAATATATGGATGTATGTTGTTAGTCTCTTGTATTTTAAGGCAACTGTTTTTATTGAATAAGAATACTTGTCTGTGAAACCTGTACATGTTGTGAAAATTATAGAAATACAAAAATCTTGACTCCATACTCATTAACTCGCATTGAATCTAGCAGTTTTTCAATATACAGGGCGTTCCAATTGAAATTGGACTCTTCAAATCCAGTGTAATTCGCATATCTGCGAATATATTGAATATACCAATTCCTCAGGATTTGTTCGATATGTCGTCACCTAATATTGCAAACGACAAGTTATTCAAAAATTGATCTCTGAGAGTATCGGTTAGGAATATAGAAAAAGAAGAAGACAAAACCTGCATGACTGAAGAGTACTCACTGAAGAGGCCAATACATATTTCATATAAGAAGAAAATGACTATGACATAACATAAACTTAACCTGGCAATTTTTTGAACAATGGGGTTAGGATAATTCATGAACTGAGTTTTAAATTCGACTTTTTGGTATATTTGTCATTCGTAAACAATAGATGTACCTTAAATCTAAAATACCACAATGGCAGTACAACTACTAAATATAACTAAAACATTTCAAAAGCTGACTGTCTCTGCTCGGTGTAATCTGGCACCAACAATTGTGAACCCCCTGAGAGAAGAATTGTTTCAAAAACAAATACTTGTTTGTAGTTCGACAAGAAATGCGAATTTCTTTAACAAATGTAAGTTTTTCCAACAGAAAAACAAAACCTTTTTATTGCAGGATAATCTGAATATACTTCATATTGCTTTCATTTTCAAAATACATCCTAATGTGAAGTTGTTCACAAGGTACTGATATAACACACTTCAAATTACCTTCAGGACTACCTAATAGAGTTTCTGAAGCAGTGGCAGTCATGGCATTTTAAATGCTAACCTGTATCATAAACTTCAACTCTTTATAATTTTTCGATCAATTTTGTATTTTTTATTCACTTGTGCAAATATGATTTTGCATAAAACATGAATGAAAGATATAACTATCTATAATATCTATCTTGATTACAGTACCTGCTCAAGACCTTTGGAAAGGTATCACATCAGTGAGTAATGCAGGAAAGAAAAGGGGTCGTGGAAAAAATGTTTCCAAATCCAAAATAAAAAACTTGAATAGAGGCCAAGTTATGGGCATAGGCAAAGCAAACATCATATGGCCAGGTCTTTCCGCTCCGATTCTAAGAGGAAAAGAACTGGTGGAGCAACAGCAGTTACCTGAAGATCCAGAAAGAGAGAAGAAACTTATCGCTCTGAGGGATCAAATGGGCAAGTTCAAGCATCAGAAGTTGAGTCCCATTGAGAGGGGGTGGTCAGGTGCCAAGCTCCCTGGTAGAAGTATCGGGCCTCCAGATCCAGTTGGAGAAGGTGAGACACACTACATATCAACTCCTCAAAAACTGATCTTTCTCTAGACTCCGACATGTGCAATTTTTTTTGAACAATATTTGGCCTGTTGTAAACTCACTCTATTATTCCAACATATCAGAATTGGAAATTCTGTTAGCTTTGAAATCCAAAGCAAGTGGAGTTGACAAAGATTATATTGAGACCGCCAGTTATCTGTAATCTCTTCAATCACTAACATTTTGTTTCCTTTCGTCTGTAAAAAAATATATAATTTCTCAGCAAGTTCTAGGTCCAGCCTAATACCACTGAAGAACAGCACTATGGTGGGTCGAAAAAGTGTTTTTTAGTTTTGGATTACAAATGTTTCATTTTCAGACTCCGATTTGAACTTATTAATCCTTTTCCCGAAATCTCAAATCTCACTTCGTCGAACTTGTTCTGTCTTATAAGTATATCGTGCCGTTTTGCAAAAGCTTTCAAACAAATAGCTGTGGTATAGTGATCTTGCAGAACAGATTCTCAACTCGCTAATAGAGTTCTGATAACCACTTTCAGTGCAGGGTCGGGCAGTTGCTTAGCAAAAAAATTGTCAGGGTCGGGCAGTTGCTTAGCAAAAAAATTGTCCAATTTCTCTCTCATGTTTGAGGATCATGTAGAGAAGGGGTTCAAAACTACTAATAACTTTTCAGACTCCATCCAGTGTCATTCTGTTATGTACACATTCAAAACTTATTATTATTATTACATGCCACTCCGCATTTGAAATTTTTACAGATACTTTTGAGGGATTCGATACCAAAGTACTTGAATTGAAAACCGTTTTTAATATGAAAGGAAATTTTGGAAGAAAACGAAGACTCTCAGTGCTCAGCGTAACTGGGAACGGAAATGGTGTTGGTGGTTTTGCTTTGGGAAAAGGACTAGAAACTAAAATTGCCATTCGGAAATCTAAAAATAGGGCAGGGCAAAAGCTTATTCATGTAAAGCGGTTCAACGATCACACTGGTAAGCTTTTTCTTCTATTTTTGGTCAAATATTTGTTACCGAGCAATCCTTTCTAGTTTGTCATGACTTCTTTACCCAGTTTGCCACCACAAAGATTTATGTGTATCAGAAACCTGAAGGATACGGTCTTGTTTGTCATAGAGCTATAAAAACTATTTGTGAAATGGTGGGCATCAAGAATCTCCACGCCAAAATAGAAGGTTCTAAAAATGTTAGTAAAATTACCAAAGCCTTTTTTTTGGGGCTTATCAGACAGGTGGGTCATAGGTATTTTTCATTCCTATATGCTCCCCTCAATCCAGCTTTAGAATAATTTCCCTTTGAAAATGAAAAATGTTAGACTCAAGTGCTATATGTTTTTTTTTAGAAATCTCCTGAGGAAATAGCCGAAGAGAAAAACCTTCATTTGGTCCAATTCTGCAAGGAAAACAACTTTTACCCCACCGTTATTGCATCTCCAAAAGAATGCCGGAAGCAGGAAGAAATTCCCAAGGATGAAATTTTAGACTATAAGCAGTACTGTTTTGACGGAAAGGTTGTTCTGAAGAAGAAGAAGCATCCACCATTTTACTCTACATATGAATCTTATGAAATATACCTCAGGAAGCAGGAGAAACTGAGGAATCAAGATCAAGTTAGAAATCACTTAATATCCGAGTATGGGGAAATCAGAAGTTTTCTAGCCGAGAAATACCCTGAATGTGTGCAGTATAGGCACCCAAAGAAGGTTTCAGAAGAAGAAGTTGATGAAAATGCCTAATGTTGTTATTGTGTCCATAATATATTCAATAAAAAGTGATTTGAAAAATTTGAATATACTGTGTGAACGCTATTTTCCGGGTTTTTTAGCCGTGGTCTGCAGGTCACTGAATACCTACTTCACACTCGAAAGTTTGTTAAATTTCAACTTACAACTCTGAATTTTGTCATTTTTTTTTCAAAATTATTTTTGACCTCTCGTGAGAAAATCTTGCAACAAAGTGTTGTTGAAAACGTTTATCATGGATTCACCTCAGTGCATTGAACTTCTCTGAACATGTTCCACTGGAATCTTCAGACAATGCTTAAATGCTCCCCAAAGGAAGTGAGTGCTAGAATATTAGGTCAATATCTTGTGGCGCCATCTATAAGTGAGTAGTCGAATTGTTCAACATTCTAATTGCAATTAGTGTTAATGAACTTCGTTTTCTAGTTTAACCACAGATGGTTCTTTTGGCACCCCAAACTAATTAATATTGTCTTGTCATTGATTAATATTATGACTATGTGCAGGTTTCAATAAACAAGTGCTACATTTATTCAAGCTCAATTTTAACAATGATTTGAAATTATTTTATTCGTTTATATTTGTCGCTTCCTCTCGTAACCAATATACATAGAAACCCTGGTCATTGTCTAAGGATTTAGACAATGCCCTGGTGTTTTTTACCAATTTCCTTTCGTTTTGTCAAAATTACGACGCGAGGAATTATGTTGACTCAACTTTGTACAAATATTGATAGATGGTGTAAGAATCGGTATCTGTCGAGAGTATTTTGTTGAGATCTTCAATGTATGAACATGAACCAGTATGTAAAAAAAACTTATATCTAATAGCTTTTTCCAAATTTAAACAACATTTAAAATTGAAGTACCCACTAGAATGGGATGCTGAAACATAACATTTCACATGGGGAAGGGATCCAAGTGATTAAACCAAGGATATTCTAATCACCTCGCGCTTGCAGTTGGGTAACTTGAATCACTTGTATACCTACTTATAAATCAATTTCTGTGTTTCCGAATCTGTCCGCAACCTTTAGAATTCACATCACATTGCCAGTCACAGTAGCACAAGTGAAATATCATTTTCAAAATTGAAAACTACCTTAGATCAACACTGTCGCAGAGTCGATTAAAAAATTTATCATTGAACATGAAATAAAAATTGAAGTCAGTGGAATTCTTACAGATTTTGCTTGTGCAAAAGCACAAAAATTAACATTTTTGTAATTATATGAAGTATTAGGAGCATCCTATATTGATTCGTTTTTAAATTAAACTCTTCAAAACAACTAAAAAGTAGTCATTTTTCATTTGTAACCCCTTCATTCACAAAAAAAAAAAACTTTTCACTCATGTACAGGCGGCGACAGGCCGATCTATCAAAAAAATGTCAACTTTTCTTCAAGCAATTTGCAAATTTCCCTGTAAGAAAAACAAATTAATTTTCAAAGAATTTTTTTGACAGGTTTGGCTAGGTTGCTATGTTGCCATTACTGTAACTAGTTTCGTGACAAAACAATGATATTTTAAGCTTGTGGTCAGGCATTCCGGCGAGGATTGGAGTTCAGTTGAGCGTATTGCGCATATTGACAGAAGAGGGCGCCAGGGTATTTCTGGTTGATTCAAGAAGATTTTTTCCTTTGATGTTATTTACTGTTCGTGTTGAAGCAGTTATTACGGACGGGATTTTTCTTTCAGTTTGAAATAGAAATACACTTCTGTTTACGATCTACACATCTTTATAGTTATTGTAATTATTCTTACTTCTTCATTTATAAGTTTCCTGAAGGTTTTGTTGATGGAGAAGTAGGAAGCCAAAAATTGTTTGTTTTGAAAACTAGTCTCTCCTAAAATATTATTTTTTCGATGAAATAGGTTCTTTGCCAACCTCTATCTAGTAGGTTTAAAAGTTTCAACACATTTTTGTATTTATAGACAACTTAGACAGCAGAAGAGAAGTGGGAAAAGTGACAAAAGAAAGGCGAGATATCCATCCTCACTATCACTGAAGTTGTTTGGGTTACAAACCCTGCGAATCGCCTTGTAAGGTCTCAGCCTCTCCAACAGACACGCACTTAAAACAACCGATTCGCGTAATCAAATTATTTCAGATGGCACCTTTTTATTGAGAGCCGTGTTTTCGAAAATAAACGGGGTGTCCAAATCCTCGGGGAGGAATCGTATTCGATTTCGCCTCGTTATCGCCTAATGGACGACATTAAGTTCGACCCGGCCGCCAGTGTTGCCAACTCGTATTTTTGAAAAGACGTAAACCACAGTTATGAGAAAAAAATATTTCGAATTGAATTCGAAACATTCATCATTCATCTCTGCCAACGTTTCTACATGGTAGAATGTTGCGAATGACGACCGGAAATGACTACTTCCCCGGTTAAAACTATGTCGGACATTGAATTGTTCCCAGTTTGGGGTCTTGTTGAAGGTGAAATAATGAATAAGGTGAAAATTTGATTAATATGTCTTTCTACCTATTCAATGACTAATAATTGTACCTGAATTTGAGTATAAACTAATTGAAAACTCAAGTCAAATTCCGGCAAGTTATTATCTAGGTAAAGGGGTCATATGACTTAACTTGTTATTTCTATCTCTACTTCCCTACTAATATTATAAATGCGAATGTAAGTTTGTTTGTTACGGTTTCATTAAATTTTCGAAACTTCATCATATGTAATAATTTTTAAAAATTGATAATCCCAGCCAGATAATCCTCATATTGATTCATTTCTATTGTACTGACACTTATTTAATGGCATAAATGCGACCGAAACCGCGAGTAAAAGCTAGTATTATATGAAGCACTAAGCAAAAATCTCACAATAATGTGTTACTTGAATACCGTTACTTGAGTACCGTTTTTAACCACGAGCGACACAACTGAGTTTTGAGCACTCTTTTTTCTTAAGTTATCAAGAAATATTTTCGAAAGTTTATGAAACATAAGAAACTGAAAAGTGAAAAATAAATATAGTTTTGAGCTGAAGTGGGCCCGTAAGTGCTGAGATATGACGAATGGAAATTCGTGTGATTATGCGGCAGCCACCCCTTCCCTGGGGAAGTCGTTATATTTGATTAGCTGATGTACATGCGGTTCTCTGTAAATATGAATAACGGATGCAAACTGCATACAGGGTGACTCATCCATCAGCAAGATATGTGATGGAATCGGCTGATACAATAAATGATACATGTATTTGGAATTGTGACATTTCCAAAAACCGCAACACACATTTCAATATAGCTTCTTCAGGCTTCAGTATTGGATTCAATTAAACACTGATGGTTCTTATAAATGGCACTAATTTGAATCATAATGAATTTCACTAATTGGAAACATCTTAGATGACAGTTATCCAACCTACAGGATCCAAGTCAGCTTGTGAGATCCGGAGGTAGCCGTTTTTTGGGAAATAATAGGATTCATATCATGAAAATGGTCAAATAAATATTTTTCAACATGCTTTATTGAATGAAATACTGGCGTTTTTCCAAAATTTGACAAGTTGGTATCGACTTACATACTTCAAATAACACTCTGTATATTTTCAAATACCTGGCATAATTCTAATGTGAATTTATGTAGGTACCAAAAATTAACCGTTCTCGAGATATTAATTTGTTATAGGTAGGTATTCGGCTCTCTAATGACTCCCCCTTCCCATAAAATTCAAAAGTTTGACACAATACATAAATACGCTATTATTGATTCATCAAAATACTTCAATTCATCGTCTTGCGGAAGTAACATTTCCAAAATGTTATACAAAATGTTCGGAATCGATTACTAATTCTGAAAATATAAAAATGGACAAAAACTCTGTTTTTTCAAATGGAACACCCTATATTTTACGATAGTTTTGAAACTCCCAGACTCACTTCCATTAAATATTCCCTAAATCAAAAATCAACCATTCACGAGATATTTCAGTTTTTATTGAAAATTGAACATGTGCATGTCCACATAAAACTACGGGCTACGAAACCTTCACTTCGAACAGTTACAATAAAGCAGAGATATTAATTTGCCGTCATGCTTTTTATTGAAGACAGAATCCCAAATGAATAAATGATGAATTTAAAAATGTTATTTCTAAATGTTTCAAAAAAGAGTAAACATTCAAGAATATTGTATTGTTTTCACACAAAACATATAAAAACTATTTCAAAATATGTTCGAAGACATTTCCCCAACTTCCAGGCATTTATTTACTCTCTTCATCAAATTGTTATTTACATCCCGACTGATTTCATCGGCATCTAGGGCCTTGAATGTTTGTAAAACTTTTCTATTAACCATATTCTCCTCACTTGGAGCAAGATCTGCATATGCAGTATTTTCGATAATGTCCCATACAAATAGTCCCTAGGAGACAGTTCGGGAGAACCTGCTGGCTAAAGGTACTGCCTATTATGGATCCATTGGAAAAAAACTGAGTTTTGGCCAATTTTATACCTTCAGAATAAGTCATCGATTCCGAACACCTTCTATGACGTTTTGGAAATGTTGAATTTACAAGACGATGGAATAAAGTATTTTTATGAATCAGTAATAACTCAGTTATGTATTCTATGAAACTTTTTAATTTCATGGGGGAATCACCCGAGAGCCGATTACCTAGTTTTTTGAGTAATGTTATTTTTTTGTATAGTATGTATTACATAAACTCACATTAGAGTTATGCCAGGTTTTCAAAGATGCAAAAATATACAGGGTGTCACATTTGAATTAAGAAAGGTGGTGCCAACACCGGGAGTGTTGGAGAAACATCATTATTTTCATTCGATAAAGCATATTGAAAAACCTATATGTGCCATTTTTCAGAATATGAATTTTTTTCCAAAATACGGCTAACCGACGGTTTATTAAACACAAATCTAGGTTTGTGTTCAATAAACCCTACAAAATACAAATAAAACAGAACACTGAGTCAGATGCTACAAATGCAATACTCATATATACAGACGGCTCAAAAACCAAAGAAGACTCGGGATGTGGAGGTTACTCCAGATTACTAAGCCTAAGGATTAAGTG